ATAATATAATATAACATAATATAATATAATAGAACATAATATAATATATAAGTTATAATATAATATATAAGTTGTATATACAACCTTTTATATATATACAACCGTCAAATAGGTAGTTTGAAGGGAAAATGATGATAAACCAGTGGATTGCGGGTACTTACCTTGCGGGGCAATGATCCTAAACAGGGCACTAGCTTGAATAGGATCCCCCAGACTGATGGTCCTCGATTTTGACACACACTTGCTGAGAACACGTTTCAACCTGCGCCAGAATGAAAGGGCAAACCACCAAACCGCCGACAGCCCCTGCAACTTTCACCCAAATCCAAGCATTCACCAGAATTCAGTAGACTCAGTAGACCTATCACCCCTATCCTTTGTACCCCAAAATAACCATGTCAACCAGCAAAGTTTGATGAGAATTCTCCACTGGTGCTAGCCAATGTTTCAACAAAAACCAATGCCAAGGAGCAGTTCTCAGCCAGGTAGCAGCCCTTGCCATACATGGTGCCCGCATTGGATCCCGCCATGTCGATTCGGAAATCCTGCCGTTTGTTGAGGCTTGGAAATCCCGCCGTTTATAGCTAGGGCCGTCAAGTCCTATATATGGTCCCGAATCCCACATCCCAGGGGTTGATCATAAGTATTATGCTATCATAAAGTATAAGTATCACATTGTTTTCCCGCGTCCAAGTAATGTTAAAGTTGCATAAATTGGTGGTGTACTGATATCCCATCAGCCATGGACATCCCGTCTGCAAATCGGGATGTCGGGCAACATGGATTTTTGAGCTGTATAAAGCCCTATGACAATATATGAAAATCAGGTTCCTGATCATTCCAGGCTATAAAGACAGAGCAATGTTGCACAGGCTTTGATCATGTTGCACATGGGCTTGTGAAAATAGGCTGCCACATGTTTCAACGGTTTGGGAAAATAGATGCCCTTCTAAATGTTGTATGCCCATCCTTCATTTATGAACAAACTCATAAATCATACGGTCCGCTATTAATTATACTATATTATATCATACTATATTATATTGTATTATATTATATATACATATTCTATTATATTAAATATTATAACATATCATATTGTATTATATTATATCATATGATATTATATCATATCATATCATATCATATTATATTATATAATATTATATCAAATTATATTATATTATATTATAATCATATTATATTAGAAAAAAATATATTATATCATATTATATTATATTATATCTATTATGTTATATTATATTATATTGTATTATATTATATTATATTATATTATATTATATTATATCTATTATGTTATATTATAATATATCATATTATATTATATTATGTTATTTTTTATTTGATTATACTTAATTATATATTATTATAATATATTAGATTAGATTATATTAGATTAGATTATATTAGATTATATTATAAATACAAATATATACATATATATATATGTAGACCTATAATTGCAGTATCCCATTGGTTCCCAATCCCCGTTTTTGTTGGTTCAATCTGCCATTGTTTTAACAAAAAGCGTTGAAGGTGCGATCGGCGCTGGCCGCGATCCTCACGCGCGATGGACAGCGCAGCTCTGATATGAGTGCCATGCCATAGGTAGAACTCATTCACCTCAAGGACTGGGATATCTGGAGGAAGTTTGGGGTGTAATTTTTTCGGTACCCTCTATGCAAACTAAGAGTTTGCTATGGAAAATGATCAAAAAAAATAGATGATTTATCTATTAAAAAAAAATGTGATTTTCTATAGCTATGTTAGTTTACCAGAGGGTATAACCATGGTATTAAAACCCATACTTGGGATATATGATATATCCCACTTTTTTTCACTGATATATAGAATGGCAATTACACGCTTATGTTTGGGTGATAATATAATGCCCATAACCATGGGGTTTACAACCTCCGTCAGTTGGGACTTTGTTTATGGCCACTGTGATACATTTACATCCTTGGACCTACACCCCAGTACAACACATAGAAATATGGTTTTCCTTTGATTAATATGGTCATCCATCCTAGAATGAAAATCCAAACATAATAATTAAATATAATTAATGGATATTGTGACAGATATATATATATATATAATTATATAAATCCCTATGGATTCATGGCCACCATTGATCACCATTGGTGCCATGGCCACGATGGATCGATGGATCGATGGATCGAGGCGAGGAACAGTGCTGTCAAGCGGTGTGAAGACGTCGGGATTCTCACCAACAATTCCTGCATATTTCAGCGATTCCCTCCCTTAGAAGTAACCAACGGCCCAACGATTTCAACGATTTCAACGATTTCAGCGATTTCGGCAGGGTCAAATCGCCCCAGATTTCCATGAAAAGCTATGACTTTGCGAGATCAGCTGCAGCTATAGCTATGATTTGGCAACGGGTCTCCCGGTTGGAACTGGCCGCCTGCACCATAGAAATACCACATGAAATCATACAAACAAGAAAACAAAGAAGGAGGAGAAGGAGAAGAAGAAACATACAGTACATTATACATATTTATATATGGCCATATATAAATATGTATATATATATATACCAATAATAAGTATATATCATCAGAATATATATATATATATATACATTGTATAAAATACAGCAGTCATCAGCTGAAGTCCTGCCGTCTGCACCGCGGGCTCCGGCTGCTCGATGCTCCCTCGGCCGCGCAGCCGCTGGCGCTTGGCCGTGTAGTTGCTCCACATCCTCGGCAGTTTCTGAGGGGAGACACGGGGCCGGTCCCCTAGGGTCGGTCCGTAGGGCCCGTAGGGGGAATGGGATGATGGTGAAAATGCGTGTGAATTGGGTCATTCCCCCAGGGACCTCTTATTGTTTTTTGGCACCAGTAAGAAGAAGATAATTTCCAGAATAAGGATGGCAAAATGATATTGATGAGTGATGAGTATCATCATGAATAGTGATAGCAATAAGAAGAAGAGGACAGGGTGTAAATGCGGGCACCTAGTCAGTTTAGCTACTTGTTGGTGTACAGGTAAAGTTATTAAAAACGTTAAAAATGATAATAGTAATAATGATAATAAGAAGAAAATGAATGATAATGATAACGATAACGATAACGATAACCACAACAACAACAACAACAACAACAACAACAACAGCAACAGCAACAGCAACAGCAACAGCAACAACAACAGCAACAACAACAACAACAGCAACAGCAACAACAACAACAGCAGCAACAGCAACAACAACAGCAACAGCAACAACAACAGCAACAGCTACATCAACAACAACAACAACAACAACACCAGCAACAGCAACAGCAATACTCCCATGAAGCGTCCACAAAAAAAAAAGCATGAAAGTCACACCAATCAAAAAATATGAATAACATAGAAAACCCCCAACCATTAGGTATATGGTCTATAATGGCTACTATAAGGTGATGTCCAATATACCCAAAATGGGACAGTTACCAACCCCTGTAGAAAACCCCGCAAAAAAAAAAGAAAAAATCCTATAACAGGCCCCCATAAAATCGGTCATTCCACCGAGCCAGAAGCCTGGCCCCAGCGCAGCTGAGGCACCTGGAATTCTCCACCCGAATGATGCGGCGAATCACATAACTCGCTGGCAGACCTTGCCGGAAACAGCCAGCAGATGGGGAAAATGATGAACCTGGAGGTGATTTTCTAGGATTTTGAAGGATTTTGAAGGGAAACCCCCAAGTGATTTATTTGACCCCAAATTATTATTCAAGATGATTCAAGTTGAACTGGTCATTTTTGGGGTTGGAAGAAAAGGGGGTATCCGGACGACTTGCAGGACACCTATTTGGACTCCATGTGGCTTTTCTGGTAGTTAACCCATCTGACTCATATTGACTCATGCTTTCACGAACCTTTTGGCTGCTGGAGGGCGAAAGATCATCAAAGATCAAAGATCCCTGGCTTCACCGGCTCCCCAAGGGCCCAAGGGCACAAGGGACCTGGATTGCCATCAGGCTGAACACAGGGACAGCCACCAGGTGTCTTGGGACAAGATCCATTGGGACACGGCCTGGGAAAGTTGGGCATGAGGATGTCATGTCATGATGACTGGCAAAGATCACAAACCAATGGAAATGGTATATTTATATGTAATGTATATAAGTGTATGTATGTAAATGTGTATTATCTATATATATACATATATATATATATACATATATATAGAGAGAGAGAGAGATTTGGAGAATATCTATATATATATATGTATATACGTGGATTATTTCTAGACATATTCCATCTATAGACAACTGTCCCCACATGGGACATAGGCACTTTCTTTAGCATTTTCCGAAGCCTCGGGGATTGCCAAGTGTTCCAGCTTTCATCCCAGCCGCCTGTCTTGGGTGCTGCGAGCTTTGTAGGTCTTCGACAACAAAGCCTCGACAGTTTGCTTTCCACGGATTTTTGCATTTTCCATCCATAAGCGGAAAGATCCATGGAAACCTTTTAACATAGCCATTAGTCCGCGTCTTGTCCATCTCTGAGTTACTACAAATAGAAACAAGGCTGCCTCAAAGATCTTGTGTTTCTCTTCGGAGACGTAGAGCATCGACTTGAACTCTGTGCTTTCAACACTGTGTCCTTCAGCGGTGGAATCAACATTCGGGCGAGTTCACCATGTGCAAATGTTGATGAACCCATATGAACCCTACAGTACACATTTCACTGGTTTTGTCCCAAATCTGAGATTCAAAGCATGGCGTGTGTCACCTCAACAACTTGAAGGACACCCCAAAGTCACTGAGTCACAAACCATCTAAACCTCGATCAAAATTGGTCCAGACATTGTCCAGACCAGCTCCAACCGGTACCAGGGTGCCAACAAAACCGTAGCCACTCACGTCATGTTTCGTTCCGCTCAGTGATGTTACTTGGTCCATAGATCCCATCAACCAAACCCATATATTATATTATATATATATATTATATATATACACCATAAACCCTAGTTATATTTCTGACTATTACACCAACTTCGCCAACGAAATCCCACGAAAATTCCATGAAATCACCATGAAATCACCATGAAACATCACCCGTTTCCGCACTTTCGCCAAGCATCCCCAGTGCGAGGGCAGGGCATTCCGCTTTGCCTCCGACAACGCTGTGCCCTCCTCGCTTTCCGCGGGGATGGTCTTTGGTACCTCGGCCAAAAATCCACCCGATTTTAGATGGGGAAAATCGGCCAAAAATCACCAGTGAACTGGTGGGTTTTGAAGACACTGCAAATTGACCCAAAGAACTTGGGAAAAATCCAATGGAAATGGTTATAGTCTGTTATAGTTACCTCCCCGGGTCCAGCCTTTATGGCCGCTGCACCCACTGTAGCAGGATCTGGATTCCTCGCTGGTCAGTGGGAATCACGTGTCAAAAGATTTTCCCTGGTCAAATAAAGATGAGTTGGGATATAACCCAACTATGAATAACTATGGTCATATATCCACTTGTCAGTGAAATTGCACTTCCAAGCTGGTCACATAAAATGAGAGGCTTCGAAAATTCGATGAAACGACCACCAAATGGTCCTCACCATTGGTATCTTTTCAGGTTTTAGAAGCCCAAAGCAATATCTGGAGACGCCAATCATTCTTTGCATGTTAGTAAATCATGATGAATCCCCCAAAAACTGCTGGTTCCATCCCCACAGATTGGCTGCATTGCTGTGGATCCCATTGCTGAATTGCTTGTTGCAAATACTGTTGCCACAAAAAAAAGAACGAAAGGACAACATAAAGACACAGCAGGAGATTGTCCCTAAAAACCGAACCTGGCAGTGGAAAATCTGGTGGAAAATCCGCCACTTGGTTCCAAAACCTCCATGTATTGGGTATAGAATGGTTCCCCATGCAACATACGTAAAAATGTACACTTCTACTTATACCATCTTATACCTGGAGGTTCATCCCAGTGAAGGCGTGATCACTGCACTTAGTGCTGTCGGATTTTTTACCCCACTGAGGAATGGAATCACCACACTTCGTCGCGATTCCTGAGTTTTTTCCATTTACACAGTTTCTAAGGGAGCTGGTCTGTAATATATATATAATATATAATATATTATATAATATTATATTATATATATATATATAATCTATATATACATAAATATGCATCAAGAAATTCTGATAAATGAATCGAACATGTTCAGTCCATCCAACCGTCGTTGACATCGCTAAGGCGCACGGGCGTTACTGGCGCCTTTGAGGTCAATGGCACACGGCCATTCTTTCTCCGCTTCCACCAGCCTTAAGGATACATCACCAACATATGGGGAATAGTTACTATCATTAAATAATGATGGGAATATTAGATTCATTAGATATGGGGATAACATGGGATATCAAAGATAGAGATGTGACCAATCCGAGAGATTCTCAAAGGTGTGGTTAAAGAGGAAATGAAAGGTTGAAACCATGGATTTCCCGTTCAAAATATGTTTTTCCTGTATGTTTTCATATTATGTTTTCAATTCAAACAATTCTGGGAAATATAGGGTATATAGTGGTACAAGCAACAAAAATGCGTGTTTGTGTTTTCATAGACGGATTGTGTCGCACATCTCACAATCTTTTGGTGGCTCCATCCCCATTCGATTAAAAATGGGGGCAGATGCGGATGTAGACGAGAAAAGGTGGGGGTATACTATGGTATACTCAGAGTTGTGCCGCAAGCCCGAAAATCATTGGGATTGATGGCTATCCAACCAGCCATCTGACAACTGATTCCTTTGCAGGTTGCAAGGATCATGGTCTAGCATGGAGGAAAGAAACAGAAAGAGGAGCTCTGGAACTGATTCCTTCCGATATTAAGCGATCGGAATCGGAATCTCAAATTTGTTGGATGGAAATTCTGATCGATAGACCCCTGACAGAAGTTCGCACGGCCCAGCACTTTACAGCTTTGTGTAAAGTTCGTTTTCATCCCATGGATTGTTTGTTTCAACAAAGAACAAATAATTCATGTCAGCCAAACATTTTGAAGTAGAAAAACAAATCTGTCCAGATTCAACCATGGCAAAGAAGGCGGCCTATCAATAAACGATCAATTGGCTGCTTGTTCTTGCTGAACCCTGCAAGAAATATTCGTCAGCTGCTGATCATCATCCCAATTTGGGAATGGAACACGAGAAAAAAACATGGTAGAAACCGCCAAACGCTCGCAAGTGGATCACTGGAAGTTCGCAACATTTGCATCTAGCCTTGCCGAGCTACAATACAAGGTAATGATGCCTGCAAAGGCAGGCAGTTGGTCGCTGACGTTGGGGAGCAATTACAGGTTTAAAGTTTTAAGGTGGTTCAAGGTAGGGCCAGGAAATTTAAGGAGAGTCTTTCCGACTTTCCCTGGATTCTTGGCTTCAGGAAACTACGAATCTTTCTCCAGCATCATCCCGTTTGCAAATATATATATATATATACATATATAATTATGTATATATATATATATACATATAATTATATGTATATATATACATAATTATATATATACACACATATACATATAGACATATATACATGTATATATATATATATTCATATACACACGACATATTTATATATATATACATAATTACACATGTATACATATATATATATAAATGAACGTCCAGGATTCACAAACCCGTGGATTGACACTCCAGGTCCTGGCTATGATAAGCACGGCTTCTCTGGCCAATATCAACACAGACGCAGCTATCTGATCCAGAAAATGGACTGTTTATAATGGCAAATCCTGTAGAATGGATGATTTGGGGGTGCCAGCCATTAGGAAACCTCCACTTGAGATACTTGAGCTTTGCACCATCCACAAGAAAATTCTCCCGCGGCGCCTATGAGAATAAGAAGTCCCAGCACGATCAGCACAATTCGCAGTGCCAACATCGGATCTTCAGCAGTTTTTGCCTTTCCTTGGCAGGACCAGGGGCGGAAAAGACCGTGGGGCAGCAAGATTTCTACCAAGCGACTCCAAATTTGGGCGCCACAACCATCTGAAACGCGGGTTGAACATAATGACACAGCTAGAAAGCTGCAGCCTCATTCAGGCCATCATGTGCTGAGGCAAATGACAATGAACGACATTTGACTTCAAAGGGGGAAACACTGTAAGGAAGGAAAAACAACGGAGTTGGCTCTGGCCCTGTTTGATGTAGAGGAAACACTGCTGCTGATGTCCTTAAAGAACCTATGCCTTCCCCCGCTCAACCTTTGGGACTTTAGCGGTCCTATCAGTGCAATCCATCACATCGCCACATTCGGCTCAGTAGCTTTCACCGTCGCAGTGACCTGTGCAAATTCACCAGGCATCTGGGCGCGATGTCTGGTCCAGTCGGCTTGAATTTTTGGTTGGGAATAGATCTAGAGTAGTGAGTAATGGGTAAACATGGTTAAACCATGTGCAAAAAACTCCTGCAAAGATGATCTCAGATTCCAAACCACCCAGTGAAGCATCAGTTCTCCATTCACCAAATCCACACCTTGTGTGCCGTCTGTACAAGGCCGAAAGCAAGCCACACAGGACGCTTGTGAACTACAGAAATCCCAACAGCTTTCTTTGGAGTCGAAGCTTCGTAGAATCCTCAGGCGACACCAAAAGCTGATGAAGCATAGCCACGGCTGCGTTACCAGTGATGGACGTTGCTGCAGGTTTTTCCAGAGGTTTTGTGGCCTTTTCTAGGTGCAGCCACCATACTTGGGGGTGCAGTTGCAGCTGTGACATGCTATGACTGGATAACATATGGGTATGGATCAATACCTATTAATACCATTTTTAGGGGGATGAACATCCATTTACCAGCTATTTTGATGTGAACTACAGGGGTATAGGGTTTTGACACACTGCCATATAACCACAATTATAAGCATCTAGTTTTTATCACCCCAAGGGCACCCCACAGTACTTTTTGTGCGACCTCTGCTACGCCGAAGAGTCGACGGGTCCGTGGAGTCAATGGCATTCGAGCAGAACGCATCGGTGGTCACGGTATATCGATCGATGGTCACTCCAGATATCACTCCTGCCAATCCATGGATTTTGATCGGTGAGGGAACCAGCGAAAACCATGGCAGAATGGCAGAATGGGATAGTTCTGGGAGCATCCGCAACTATCATTGAAATCATCAAACATTCTGCCAGAATGTACCAGCTTTGCAGTTTTCCCTCTGTCTTTACTTGATGGATGATTCACCACCAAAAACCCTCCAGCCATCTCTGGCCTAATGTGGTCGTGGTGCTTGTCGTACTTGTCGTGGCAGTGGACACAACTGACGTTGACTCTCTTGTGGTGCTGCTCGTTGTGGCAGGCAACTTCTTGTAGCAAGTTGTTAATGTCGTATGTTCAGACGCCTACAAGAAAGGAGCGGGCTGGTGGCAAGAACCAATGTAAAACCTCCCCTTGGGAAGTCCTAGCCAAATCTTGCTATAACCCTAGTATATGTGTATACTATTGTATGTATGTATGTATATATATATATATAAGTAATGTATATATATATATATATGTGTAATGTATATATATATATATAATGTGTATATATATATATATGTAAGTAATATATATATATACAAACATACATACATAATACATGAAATATCATAAGATACACCAGATACATAATTATACACATTCCATCCTACATTGTGGATATTGTGTTTTTTTCGAAGCCGCCTTATCTCCCCCTTGCAATTTTTTCCTACACCGAAGTCGTTGTCGCCTCGCGGAGGTGAGGGTCCATGCAGTGCCTTTACAGAGTTGTTGACAATATCATCGATGCCCTCTTGCTATGGCGAAATCGCATCAGAATAGCTGTGTACAGTAGATTGAAGCATAATGGATGAAGAGGAGGAGGATGATGATGAACAACAGCTGATAGTTCCACCAAAATGATGATGTATTGTCAATTATTGCTCATATCTGTGGCAGCCGCTTCGATGCTCAAACCCTTGATTGCACATCCATTTTACTCAGTGGTTTTCCGACAACTACCCTACTGTTTCTGCTTCTGTTTCTGTTGTTATTGTTGTTGTTATATACTGCTCTTGGTCTTGTTAATATGCCGTTCGCATGATTGCTACTTGGTTCTTCTTGTTGTTGCGATTCTGCTTTTTCTAATTGTTGTTTCTAGATGTTTCTAGTTGAGTGGTTCTTTATTGTCGTTGCTAGTGTTTTTTGTGTTTTCTTGTTCTTGTTTATTGTCGTTTTTGCATGTCTCTTGTTCTCCTTGTTCCTGGTCTTTCGTGTTCTTGGTTCTTCTTTCCTGTGCCTTCTTTGTTCTTGCTGGCGCTCTAGTTCTTATCATTGTTCTTATAATTATTCTTCATGTTCTTCTCCTTCTCCTTCTTCTTTTTATGTTTCTGCTTCTTCTCCTCCTCCTTCTTCTCCTTCTTTCTTCTCCTTCTTTCTTCATCTCCTTGTCGTTGCTGTTTGCTGAATCCTCCGTTGAACGCCCATGGTTGGCTGGCTGTTGGAATAAACGTTATCCCCATCACGCGAAGAGACCGTCTATATTTTGATCAGCCGCAAAAGGAAGATTTATAGGATGTTCATGGAGGTTTATTGGGTGTCAATGGGACTTAACATATCATATATACATATTTTTGGGGTTTATTTGCAAAGGAGAGAAGCTGCATCTAATCAAGCGATGCAGTAAGGCAGTCCAGTTGTGACACTGATAGTGGAATTTGCAAACCCCAAGCCCGCTTTCTTTCCCAGTCACAATCCGGAGAAGCTCAAACATAAACATCAAGTTTTCGATGGGCACATCAGAGAATCGGGATTGTACATCTGTGACTTTTCGTCTAAGCATTGCATAGGCAGTGACATCATTCAACAAGTTGTAAGGCCTTGCAGAACACTCTCAACGGGCTTGGGAGGCAAGCTTGGTCGTACAGCAGTTCGATGCTGTGATCAGTTGCCATGGAAAAATTGCACAGGCACGCTCACAGATCTAACTTCCTCAACAGCGACCATCTCACTGTCTGGCTGCCGTCTCTCTTTGGGAGGGATTAGTTACCTGGCCTGCGGGCCTCTCTCCATACTGCACATCTGCAGGCTGCTGTCTCACAACCGCAAGCGGTTGCTGGATGGTGTAGCTGCGCAGTTGGAGAAATCTCGCGTTAGGCGTTTCCAGATTCAGTGCTTTGATCAGAGAACAAGGATGTGCATCCATGGCTGTTCCCCCTGGCCCTGAAACACGTCTTTCACTTGAATTGAAGACAGCCAGAGTTCCTTCGACAGCTGCGATGGTCTCTGGAGTTCGCCAGCACCACTCGGGCAAGCTCCAACCAGTTACTAGTGTTACTAATACTGTCAACTAAACCATCCCCAATATGAGTAACCGTAAGTGGATGGTTTCCCAACCATCCCCAAAATGTTCGTTGTTTGTGGTGGGCGGCTGACTCGCCGCCCCCACGAGGGTTGTTATTTTTGAAGTGGGGTGGGGTGGGGTGGGGTGGGGCATGTTAATGTTCCTTGTAAGTAGCACACATGTTGTAATGCTACGCAACTGAAGGGTTGGGGTGGGGTGGGGCATGTTAACGTTCCTTGTAATTTGCACACATGTTGGATGCTACGCAACTGAAGGGTTGGGGTGGGGTGGGGCATGTTAACGTTCCTTGTAATTTGCACACATGTTGTAATGCTACGCAACTGAAGGGTTGGGGTGGGGTGGGGCATGTTAACGTTCCTTGTAATTTGCACACATGTTGTAATGCTACGCAACTGAAGGGTTGGGGTGGGGTGGGGCATGTTAACGTTCCTTGTAATTTGCACACACGTTGGATGCTACGCAACTGAAGGGTTGGGGTGGGGTGGGGCATGTTAACGTTCCTTGTAGAGAACGCAGAAAAGAACTAGCCGATTCATCATTCGACATGTTGTCGTTGTCTCGCATTGAAATCACAATATTGAGCGTTCGATGTACAAGCACATGGATATAGATAGATATATATATATATGTATATCTACTGCATGAACTCCAAAAAATAAACTTGTTTTTCGGACCTAAAAAAAAAAACCTTCGTTTGCATGGAAAAAAAACAGTACATTTGAAAAGAAGAACAAAAAGCCTTGGAAAACACAGTGAATTTGAAGCTCTGGTTCAGGTGAAACAGACAGTGAATCACTCCGAAACCACAGCGAGAAGCAAATTTCAAAAAAAACAAGGCAAATCAGTCGTTGACCCTTCTGGGGGCGGCGAGACAGCCGGCATCCTTGTTTATGGCATTGGCTTTACCACATTCGTCATTTCCGAACTTTAAACATTATTTATTTATTTATATACTGTATATATATATATATACATTAGTAACTAGCCATTTCAGCGTCATCTAGTGTATCTAATTTATCTAATGAATCTAATGGCTAGTTACTAATGTTAAATGGAACATAAACATACATAAACATACATAAACATACATAAACATACATAAACATACATAAACTACATGACACTACACGGTCACTACATGACACCAATGTTCATGTTCCATTCGATTCACTGTTTGATGTATCGCATAGAATTCGCCATCGCCATGTTCCAAAAAATGCCCGTTGCAGCCCGTTGCCTTCTTGACCTCGCCGTTGCCGTAGTTGCTATTGACGATCCCAGCTGCTGGGACCTGTGTTCGCAGAAAAGCCATGAAACAAAAAGCCAAACAATTCAGAAATGTTCATAATATATAGGTCCTATTAGGTGATCCTGTTTCGACAGCTTGAATAGCGAAGCCGCTTCAAAGCAGGAGCTGGGAGTTACTCCGGCCTGAAAGCTTGACGGACTTTGGCCATTATTCATGTAAACCTCGGCCGGGAACAAGTCTTTGAAGCACGACGAAGCAATGTAGGGGGAAACTGAATTGGATGTACCCAACAAAATAGAAAGAAACGTTGGCAATCTATCTGTGTTAACTTTCGTAATTCATGGGGGGTGCGTGTATTTAAGGTCGGGGGGTTGTGCATAACGCTAGGTAGTGTTGACGGTCATTGAAATTGGTATGGGGGCTACACCGACCTTGATAACGAAGTTGAACACGAGATAAAGATCACAATTAACCCCACTGGGCAATGCTTGCCAGCTTGCCCATGTAGAACTTATGGTCTGATCGTTGTATTGATTTATATTTGGTACATGTTCCCATGTTCAGTAAGACGCTGTCTCTCAGCTTGTTTTTTGTTCCTGTAGGCCCTGGGCGTGTCTCGCATTTGTTGATTCTCATCCAGTTGAAGTCCCACAAATCTTATTATGTGCACGGTGCCCCACAGCACAAAAATGTGAGAGGCCAAGTCGATCTTACAAAAACAAACCATCAATTTGTATGATTTTTCCCACTAAAAAATCAATCATTGAATTAAAATTGGACAGCTGTGAAAATCTAGTTGTGGAAGGTGGCGGGGTTGTCTTTAAGGTTTGCCCCCGAAATAAGGTGCATGCAGTATGCAAAATTCATAAGATCAAATGTAGGGGATTCTTGGCTGAAGAGAGGGTTGCGAAGACAGGGTTGCGCAATTAATTTCGGGACACGGCCAAGAGTTCAGTTAATTTTTTTCATTTGTTTCTTCTATTTTATTTCAGTACAGTTTTACTTTCTTTTTTTTGCAGCCAGAATCCTGTGCCTTGCCGGCTGCTCACAAAAGGTAGTCTTTAACAAAGGCCCGCCGCAGGCGACATTTTTGAGCATAGGATCGTCGCCCAGGAAGCATTAATTCCATCAATCTGAAAGCAATGAAAAAACAAACAATAAATAGATGTATTGTGTTTTCCTTGTTTTCAATTCTTCTAGTTTTTTTTTTAATTCTGTTCAGTTTTTCATTTATTTCCTTTTTGCGTTTTCATTCTATGTTTTTCTCTTGTTTATGTTTTCTGTGTGTTTTTTTTTGTCTCCGCAAAACCCTTAAATTCAAAGGCTGGCCTTGAATTTAAGGAAATTCGACTTTTTCCCATGTTTCTTTTTTCAAAAAAAAATGAAATTTGATCTTTTTGCAAAATCCACCGTTTTTGATTTTTTACACAAGGAATTTTCCAAATAAAAACACTGAAATAAACTTTTTAAATATGTTTTTCCTGCAACATATAATTGTGGGAAAAGTCAAAATTCTTTGAATTCAACGCCGGCCAGTAAGATTAAGGAAATAAGGAAAATACAATAACAAATATATAATGAAAAAACACACAAGCAAAAAAAAAAATACATTAGAACCATTTCCAAAAAAAAACAAGAAAGAAACAAAAAATGGAAAGGTAAAGAAAATCCAAAATATAAAGAAAACAAAAACAACAGAAAAAAAAATACAAAAAAAAACGAAAAAAAGAAAAAAACGGAAAGAAAAAAAAACAACGCGAAAAAAAAGAAGAAAAAACGGAAAACAAAATCGGGAAAAAAAACGGAAAAAACATCGAGAAAAAAAACGGAAAAAAAAACGGAAAAAAAAACGGTTAAAAAAAAAAAAAAAAAAACGAAAAAAAAAAAAACGAAAAAATCGAGAAAAAAATTGAAAAACAAAAAAAACGACCAAAAAAAAAGGCGAACAAAAAAAAACGGAAAAAAAAAAAATCTTATTTCAGGCAAAAATACCTTAAATTCAGCCCTAGGGTTGAATTTAAGGATGCTGTGATGACTTTGGCCTATATTTTTGCTCCAAAATATGAGAAATATTGGTTTTGGAGTGGATTTTGTAGGCCAAATTTCTTTTTTTGGCATAGTAATTTTGATATGTTTTCATTGTTTTGGGCTTTTTGTTTGCAATTCACTATGCCAAAGTCATCACAGCATCCTTAAATTCAACCCTAGGGCTGAATTTAAGGTATTTTTGCCTGAAGTAAGATTTTTTTTCGTTTTTTTTTTTTCGCCCTTTTTTTTTCCATTTTTTTTTTCGATTTTTTTTGTTTGTTTTTTCGATTTTTTTTCTCGATTTTTTCCGGTGTTTTTTTTCGCGTTTTTTTTTTCGATTTGTGTTTCTCGATTTTCTTCGTTTTTTTTTTTTCGCGGGTTTTTTTGATTTTTTTCTCGATGTTTTTCGTTTTTTTTTTCGTTTTTTTCATGTTTTTTTTATTTATTTTTTTTTTCGCGTTGTTTTTTTCGTTTTTTTTTCCGAATTTTTTTTCTCCATGTTTTTTTTTTGTTCGTTGATTTTTTTTCTTTTTCGTTGTTTTTTCTTTGCTTTCATTTCGTTTGTTATGTTGTTTTTTTTTCGTGTTTTTTCCTTTTGTTTTCCTTTTTTTCCTTTTTTTTCTCCGTTTTTTCCTTTTTTTTCATCTATTTTTTTCGTATGTTTTTTTTCGTTGTTTTTTTCTTTTCCCGTTTTTGTTTCCTGTTTTTTCTTTTTTGTTCGTTCCTTTTTTTCTCTTTCTTTTCATTTTTTGTTCCATTTATTTGTTTCCGTTGTTTTTTTTTTCGGCTTTTTGTTTTTTTACTCCTATTCGTGTTTTTTTTCTTTTTTTGCTATTGTTTTTTCCTTTTTTTCGTTCATTGGTTGTTTCTATGTACCTCGGTTTCCTTTTCGTTTCTATATTTTTTCTTCGTTTTGTTACCAAATGCATGGTTCTCATGTTTTTTTTTTGCCATGTTTTATTTGTATGTGTTTCTCATTATTTGTTTTTCTATTTTCCTTATTTCCTAGCTGAGGGGCTGGCCTAGAATGTAAGGAAATTTGACTTTTCCCACAACTCAAAAATGCCGCCTGCGGCGGGCCTTTGCTGAAACAAAAAAATGAGCAGCCTGCCAGGCTTCTGGCTGCAAACAATAAGAAAGTAAACGTCGATTTACATCAAAAAACAAAAAACAGTTAAAACAAAACTGACATAATGAAACAAGATTTGACAAACAAAAGCGAAACAAACACTGAAGATCATTGAAGCATGTAAATTACTTCTCAATGGCCTTCTTGCCGGCAGCTCACCATGGTCATGGAACAAGTCCAGTAAGCTGTTGGAAAATATTGGAAATATTTGTTTTGGATAATTTCTTTAGGTGCCTGCATTCGGTTCTTTGTGACTCCTGTGGTCTTCTGCGACGACTTTATTTTGGCCGACACTGACACCATCTACTAGTTTTGTCACCCAAAATCTTCACAAATTGAACCATGTGGATGGGTGCAATTACATGATTCAACACAAATTGCCTAAAACCCAGTGGAACTGGATGTCAAGCTAAAACTGTTGGTTTGCAAATATCCTAAAGCTTATTTCAAGTTCATCAGCCATTTGAAGGCAGCTGCATTGGCAAATGATTTAAGCAGTTTTGTTGCCAAAATGTATTGATATATATTCTTTGCTCAGTTTGTCCAGATGTGTATCACAGTGTTGCAAACCTTTCTCAAGCTGTCTCCGATTATATGTTTGCATCTTCACTTTGGGCCACCATGCTGATTTTCGAAGCACATGCTCATGCACGTGGTCCCGGTTTTATTTCAATTCCTTCAAATCAGAGTAGCGTTCATATCTTTCCTCACAAGCCCTTCTGCCATACCCGCATGGCTTATATACAACCCTAATACCTTAGCAGCAAGGAATTACGAAAGTTAACATCTATCTGTGTGTATTAACATATATATATATATATGGTGAAACAAGATGGAAAAACGATCAAGACCGGTGGTGAGTGGGAAACAACTATCGACATTGGTGATGAATGGTGATGATCACTGAGGCCAACAACATTGGGATCGTCAAGTCGTGTCAAGTCTATATCCCTTGATCAATTGGGGATTTATACCCATAACAGCCATAACATCCCATAATTAATTCAAACTTGACAATGATGATGCCAGCCATTCCAATAAGGATCCGCAGCTACCTCGTCTTGAAGACTGTGGCGCGGGAACAAATCGGTGTTGCTATGCGAAAATCCTCGTCTTCCATCGGTCTTGTTGATTATTCTGTTTTTCCCCACCTGCCAGGTGAGGGTCTCTAGATTCTAACAAAGGTGCAACTCTTCTTCTCCTTCTCCTTCTCCTTCTCCTTCTCCTTCTCCTTCTCCTTCTCCTTCTCCTTCTCCTTCTCCTTCTCCTTCTCCTTCTCCTCCTCCTCCTCCTTTTTTCTGTGGGGCCGAACCCATGGCGAGCTCCGGATGCTGTGGGGCACGCCTGGACCCGAACACATGTCAGAGAGAATGCCAGATAGAAAACCAACCGGTCAAACATCAATCAAAACTCCAAAAAACAAAATGGTAACAGGAAATCTTCTCCCAAAAGGAACCCTGCCAAAAACCATGCATCCTTTTAACATGTCTTCGACAAAAATCCACCACCCGTTGGTCGCCCAGCGGCGGTGCAATCGTTGGAGCTACTGAAGGCAAAGCCCGGGCTTTGGGCTTCAGCCTGGGACCTCTGCCGACACTCGTCCAGGCTGCCAACATAGCCCAAGTCCCCAGGGGCCGCCGTGAAGCTGTCGTAGTAGATGTTCCTTTGCCAGATACAGAATGTATAGGTAGATATAGGATAGTAGATATGGATAAATATAGATAGTAGATATGGATAGGATAGTAGATATGTATGGATATGTGTGTATCTAGATTTTATGATCCTTGGTTTACTACTTGGTCCACATACACAGAATTGGATATTGTACACATGCATATTAGATCCATAGTTAACTCCTGGTCCTAGTTGATTTGTACGTCTTGGCTTTGGAGCGGCTCAACTGCCCAAAAACAAAGCTGGGTGGCACGGTGGGGGTTGTCACTGTATTTTCCATGGGAGACAGGGCCATCCAAGAACAGACCCCCAGTCACCAGCCAAGGCTCTGGGAATCCATACAATACCTCGGTAGAACTGGGCCCGAAAAGCCGGGCAAAAACACCGTGCTGGAACTGCGTCTTCTTGCACCAAGTGCACCAAGTGCAACAAGTCGCTTGGCAAAAAGCAGCTTAGTGTCAGGTAAGTATGGCTTAAGATCGGGCTACCAATGGCTTCACATTGATCTCTCAACTTGATTCTATAGTAAATAAGCATATTAACATATACAAACCAATCACTGTTCTATTCTTTATTCTAGCAAAATCAACAAGGGCCCACGGCCCAAAACATCAAACCGAACCATCCATTTTGGTGGGATAAAATGAAGCCAGGCCGCCCTGTTCCCATCTCCTGAAAGTCTCCGTTGACGCCATTGGAGAGCCAGGCAATGGCCAGAAAAACGCGCATGGCACGGCGCCGTTTTTATCGGAGAAAAATCGCGAACAGAATGGGGGAATTGCATGGTAAATCTTGGGAATTTATGGGAAATCTTGGGGAAATAGTCAAATGGGGGAATAAGTTGGCACATCTTGGCACCACTGGGCCTACATGGTTCAGTGAAATTCATCAGACCGCTTTTTTGCTGTGCAATTTCAGAAACTGACATTTCGGCCCATTGCATGCTCGCAGGTTCCCGACAAACTTCATTCCAGACTTCATGATCTTTAAGCTTGGATGATTTGAGCAAAGTTCAGCACCAATGCCCAAGGGTTCCAAGGTTGCCAAGATAGCTGAAAAACTGTGCACCCAAGGAAACATCTAAATGTGGCATTGCCAACTGCTCGGATTTAGATCATCTAATTTTCAGGGTCAGACACTGGAAGCAACTGGACCATCTCTCTGCTGCACTTCACACTGTGACGTTGCAGCACGTGAGTGAGCTACAGTATCCCCGAACGTATCCTCCCAACAGAATCTTCATGTCTAACGTCGATGTTTCAGCAAAGGACAGTCGGAAACTTTGCAAACAACCCGCCATTATTCTCAGCGCTTGGCTGATGAAAAAACCATCAGCAGGCCCCTACAACTTGCAAATGGAGAAATGGATTTTGTTGACCTCATCACCTCATTCAATTGGTAGATATGCCTGGTGATTGGAGTGTTCAGACCCCCTTTTCCAAGCAGTAACAGCTGTCCCTCACTGGTTCGTGAGCCCCTGAAAAAATAAAAACTGGCTATCAAAAAAAAACACATCTTTTTTTTACAAAAAAAAAAGTGGGTTTAGTCCCAGGGCCTTTCTGCACCGGCACTCATTTTTCGTTTTTTTTGTCCTCACAATGTTTGGACGGCTCCTTTGGCTGAGCTAAGACTCATCCTGCATCGAGATGGGAGATTTCATCATTTGTTGTGTGAAAAATCGGTGGAAAATCCCATGGTTTATGGTAGATTTTGGGTAGATATAATACTTAATTAACTATAGTTGGGTTTATAAACCAACATTTTGGGTAGATATAACTAACTATAGTAGATTTATAACTAGAGTTGGGTAGATCATTCTATAGATGGTAGATATAATTAACTATAGTTGGGTTTAACCCAACCAACATTCACATCACCGGGCACCATCCTTTGCCAGAATGTGTGGTGTCGAAAATCATTTTTCGGATTTTTGATGTTGGCTATTTCATTGCCATTTTTTGTTTCCACGTGTCCGAAAAGGGGTGGCGAAATGCCGTGCCTCTGTCTCCATTGGCCCTGCAGTTTGGTATGCAAAAGCCTGGCCACATGCATCCACCTGGGAAATGGACCATTTTACACACAGTCTCTATACGTATACATATACATATACATATACATATACATATACATATACATATACGTATACATATACATATACATATACATATACGTATACGTATACATATACATATACATATACACCCAAAGTTTAGAAGTGACGCATATTTACAAATGCGCATTCATATGTAGAATATAGAAGAATGATATCATGTAACATAGCTACATAAATATGTGTAATATAGATAGTTACATTGTATTATATAAACATATACTTACCTGCATCCTCCTAGTAGTCTGCTTTTCATGCCACAAAGTTGCGATTTTGGCGCCATCAATCTGCATCTTAAAGGCCACGGAAAGATCAAGGAGAATAGGGTCTTTCTCATCAAAGGCTTTCATGCAAGGCGGTTTCAAAATCTACTGAAAGAGATTCGAGGTCAATAACAGGAAAGGTTGAATGCACCTGTGAAAGGTTGAGTTCGATACTGGGTATGTCACAAGAAAGGAAGTTTGAAAGGCTACAAGAAAGGCCTTTCTGCAGCATTACAAAACTGATTGGTGGATGATTATTCCCAATATATGGAAAAAAATGTTCCAAACCACCAACCAGAAAATATTGATTGTAAGCTGGTTTTCAGTGCCCAACAATAAAGGCTTTCTACATGAGACCAAATGCCAAATTGTGGAACCGGGTCTGGTATGCCATGCTGAAGGACCTGCATAAGTCCCAAATTGCTGACAAACTAAGTAACTGTGCAACGGATAGAGTTGGGTATGTTAGGTCTTGGTGTACTGTGTGTATACTATTTACCTCACATACGACATACGTGTGTGTGTGTATATATATATATATAGTTATATAGAGATAAATATGTGTAGGTATGTATGTATATACAGATAGAGTCACATAGAGATACATCCCCGCTGTGGCAACAAAGTCCACAGCGAAACTTATCAAGTGTCATCGGTCACAGTTGGCAAAACTCATGGGCAGAACAGGGCTCGAACTCATTCACTTCGGAAAAAAATGGATGGTTTAGTACGTTTAAGCAAGTTTCGTTCCAAAAAATTGTGTTGATAGTCGCCATTCCCATTTCATGCTAAGAGCACAAAGCTGCACCCAGCCTTTTGAGCTACGCCAGGTAGCGATATTTTGACGCCTGTTGTGTGGCATTTCAGCAGGCGTTGAAGTGAAGGAAAGACTTCTGGCACCAAAAGCCTATATACTTTGATATACGTCCCACTTTGTAGCTAGATTATGGGATGTTATAATCTTGGACAATCAGACCATGTGCCTAGATGAATTGTATTAAATTGTAACCAATTTCTGATATCCTACCCAAAAAAACTTGGTGTTCCAGTGTTCCACAAGAACAAATTCCATGTTCAATTCCGGAAAATGGCAGACCATACTCCTGGTGATGACGTCCATCTGTGAGTTTGGGGGTCCAACAAACTTTGAGCCATACAAGGTTAACCCCTGGTCATTGATCAACGGGGTCGTCCAAAAGCATAACCTACCTCCGTTAAGAAAATCGCGAGCTTATCGCCCACAAAATTATACACATATGTATACATACACATACACATATACAAATACAGATGCCAAGACATATGTATGATTTTTACTATATATACATATATATATATGTATACACGTGTGTGTGTGTTGTTGTAGTTAAACATATATATATATGCATACATGTATATAGCATAGATATACCCTCATATGTATATTATATGATACATATATATATACAGTATATATACATATAGTTATTTGTATAGTCGTACATACATTCATACCACCACTCACCGCTTTTTCTCCACCGTTCTTGACCAAGCTCTGTTGGACCTGGTCCTTGTCACGTTCCAGGTACTCGCGTTCAATGAGGTGCTCAATCCCTGCATTGCTTCAGTGCTCATAACTGCCATGGCTCAATACCCATGGCATCTGTTGGGTTTTCACAGCCAAATAGCTGGGATTTATGGAATGTTCATGCAGATATGAAATGATGTATATAATGTTTTCACAGCCCAAATGAAGTATTTCAAAAGTTTTTATAGGTTCTGGCCCATCCCAATTTTACGAATAAATCTTTGGCCAACTGATTTCCACATCATCCCAATGACAGAGGATGATTCAGCTCTTTTCCAGGTGTTCAGATATATAGTGGGATATAATAGATGCAATAACTATTTAGAAAATTTAGTGTGTGTATATATATATAACATTCTGCAACTGTAAATGGTGAGTATCACACCACCAGTCAGATCACTGCTTATCATGGCTACCAACTGGGCGCCCTGCGTTGCTTCACCAACTTGGGGTTTGGCTTAAAGAAAGCCAGCTGCGTCAAGACCTACCAGCTGGTTTACACCAATTCGGATGCCAGATACACCAAAGGCTGTGGGGACAGCACTCATGTGCAGGGTCACAAACTTTCATGACTTTGGCTTGATCTCAAATATGGATAGATATGGTGTTATCATCTGAAAACGGGCTACTTACAAATAATAGTGATAAAAATGGGAAAAAAAAACAATGCTCCTCAATTTCCATTGCCTCTCCCGATTCACCCCCGACGCCACAGGTGTTCAATGGCGAGGTGAGCTATCTAGCTGATCCTTTACCGCCTGAAACTTCGTCAGCATGGCTTTTGTGGTGAAATCCCCTATAAATCAAGGCTAGCTGGGAAGATCATCAAACTAATGAGCCATTTTCCGGCAAGCCATGTTTGATTACCAGGGGGATATTAAAAAAAGAGTAGGCACAAGAATTTTGGACTTTGGACACTGTTGCTCATGATTCTTTCATGTTTTGTCCCTATCTGTCAAGTCATTTTGACAAATCCCAATCCATCTCGGTGACAAGTCATCATCCACCTCCGTCACCAGCTGCTGATGGTTCAGCCTGAGTCCCAGCGGGGATGGCGTGGTATCACTGGTGTATCACTGGTTCCGAAACTCCTCGGTGCCCGTGGTGCATCCATGGTGCCCGGCGTCTTTCTCATCTTCATAATGCGCACAATGGCTGCCTCGATTGCGATGGACCGATCTTCTTCCACTCGTTCCTGGCACGTCGCTTCTGCGCGTTTCGAACTGTTTCTAGTGATTTCAAAGTTGTCCAAACTGTGAAAATTCAGGGCTATCCAACTGACTCTCCTCGCTATCCCAGCGATGTGCGAAGCTTCGGAAGCTGCTTAGCACTTTCGCGGCCTTGTTGTGAGTCTCCTCTGTGACGGGGGGAGGGATCTTGATCTTCCGGTGCTGGCACCTTAGCAGCTTGGCACTTGCCGACCATTCTAAGCCGAAAACAAATGGGTAGCGTGGCAAAAATTAACTACATGACGCCCCATATGACCCATATGTATGTGTAGAGTTAGATAGTCGTAGACTATTTATTTAATTTATTGATTAACTAAATAATTATTTGGTTAGTTATATAATCAATGAATTGGACCCGATTTGTTTAGATCAGATCAGATGAGATTCGATTCGGTAATGTAAGATTCGATTAGATTTTGGATTAGGCTTAATTAACTAGACCATCTTAGTTTAGATTGGATATGATAATCGATTAAATTAGATTTAGATAGGTGTTTTATATACAGTATATATATATGTGTGTATGTGTGTATGTGTACAAGACTACAGTGTGGGTAGTCTTAACCCACTGGGCATCCCATACACGAAGCCATCGTTCGGCGTGAATGTCGCATCATCCTGCAGCCCGAGGCGAAACGGGCTGCGAGTCGCAGTCTGCCAAGATGGGGATCATCTGGTTATGACTAACGTAGCTATGGAAAATGCCAACCATAAATGGAGGTTTAGTTTGCTGGGAAAATCCATCTGTTTCTGTTAGGGCCGTTGTTTTTTTTCCACTTCGCTATGTGAAAATGCCAAGCAGAGTGTGACCAGCCAAAAAATGCTTACCTAAGATGGGATATAATACGGATATGTCAGAATATGTCATGCAAAAAGTACCAAAAAGTACCAACTCTGGTACTTTGTTACACTTTGTTACATAGCTTCAAAAATGGTCTGGATTCGATCGTTATCTGCATTTACTTGAAGGGGCACCCAAGGCATCATATTTCCGCCTTGGAAAAAAAAAACATATGGAAATGGACCAAACCCTGGTAAGTGCAAATCAAAAAACAACAAAAGGGTTTTGATTCATGTTTAGATCAGGATGCTCTCAAGTCTGCATAGCTATTTCATGAAATGACCCGTGTCGCCACATTCCTCCCACCGGTCGTGTCCTCAATGGTCTTGGCATCTCCCGTCTTGGTCAAGATCTTGAACCTGGCTGATGGCGGATTCTCCTCAGCTTAAAGTGTTGCGGTTAATATTTTTAAGTCAGTGACTAACAATGATTCATAATGATTGATAATGAATAGTTCATGGTGATTTTCTATATCAACTATTAGAAATATCTATAAATAGTCATTCATAATGGGGGTAGTAGTGATTCCCCACAAATGTTAAGACAACAAGCCATTTCAAATGGTCGGCATGGCTTTGCAATGGACAGAGTCGCCAAAAGCCTTGGGGATGCGACGGTGGGCTGTTTTCCTAGCTTAGTCATCTCTCCCAGTCGTGATTTTCTTCATGGTGCGAAGCCGCACACCTGACACAACAGGGTTATAACATGTACCCTCCAGTAATGGAGGATTCTGGCATCCTCAAACGATTTTTGTTCGAGATTTTCCAGCCATGTTTGACTACCAAAGGGGCAATCCCAAATAAAGAATCACGACATGTCGCAAGCCGATGCTTGTAGCAGCTACACGTAAGCTCGTAAGCCGTTCTGGGCTCCACACTTCTTGCACATGCTCGGCTCCAGGCCCGTCGAATTCTGGCAGAAATTCTGGAGACATTGTTGGAGACTCTGCAACCAGAAATCAACCATGGATTTCACCAGGCTTGAGGATTCGTGGCGTCCATAGATGCCTAAGATGCTGCGAAAAGCAACATGCGTAAAAATATCCAAGGGTCTGATCCCAGGGTCCAACAATATCTCAAAATTAACCATTTTGTTGTATTATGTACATATGCATGTGTATATATATATATATGTATATATATATATATATGTATATATATATATACATATATCAAACTCTCAAACTCAAAAAATGAGCAAACATCGGAAAACAAACACAAAAAGAATTACCATTCCCACGTCATCCCTTCTTCAAATTCACGGGTCCCGCGCTCCCGCGCCTGGATGAAACTCAGATTGTGGCCCTCATCCCGTGTGAAGAGCAACAGGATCAAGGCCTAGGGGAACCCCAATAGCTGGATGGATTATTTCATGGAAAATCCCAATGGATGACGATTGGGGGTACCCCCATTTCAGGAAACCTCCATATTTATTTTTTGATATAGATTAATGAGATACTAATTTAGGATGTTAAGGGGATATTAATGGGATATTAAGGGAATGTTAATGGTGCTTCATAGGGTGCTTCATGGGATACAATATGACTAACCAACTAACCAACTTACTTGATTAAGCAACTTGATGTAATAGTTGGGTGTGTCGAGAGATAACATTAATATAATCTGTACGTCGTTATTTTGTCAATCATTGGGAAGTGATATGGATCTATAACATATATATATAACTTATATAACCTACAAATAAACATCTATAAACATCGAGGCGTTTTAGCCATGAAAGAATAGGCGATTTACACAGAGATATGACAGTTGGACCAAATAAGCAAAAGCTGTGCTGAAAGTCCGTCATCTCTTGAATGATTTGAGGAATTCTTCGCATTGGGGAGCCACAAATCAGCCAAAAATCATCAAATCATCATTTCTTTCAAAGCACGAAAACAATGATTCCGGAGTACCTTTTTTTTTTCGGAACCACCCATTTGGATCCATTTGGAACCACCATTTTTTCTCAATTTGTGGTATCTCCAATGGAAAGCAACTGACGAAGCACACAGATTCGCTGGCCTGGTAGGAGTTCACAATCAAGTCATGCCTGGACAGAAGTTTCGGCATCCGCATCAGATTCGAATATCTAAATTTGATGCTAAAAGTCATATGATCTTTATCCAACGGCATACCCGCTGTATTTAACATAACCGTGTAAAATAACCAATTTATAGATGATGTGTTATTATTTACCGTTCTTTAAAAAAAAAGAGTTTCCAGTGATCTTTGCCCCAAAGGATGGCACGTACTGGGTTCATCACACCTCGCCTGCGACCGTTGAGCTTTGCTGCGATGGTCGCCTCAGATGTCAATGGTGGATTTACCCCCAATCCCTATTTCGAGGGGAAAATATCATGCCGCACATGCCAAATCCTGGCATTTTGGAGTGCTCTGTTTTCAGACCAACCCAATTCGTGATTTGTTCGTAGGCTAAAATCAACGATTTTTATTGGTGAACAAATCCAATGACTCATAACCAACAAAATTCGACCTTGGAGAAGTTGATTTGTAGTGCCTTCCAAAGCCTTTCTTTTCTTTCCATCTTTTGGCAGTTTCCCCCTGTTGACCATCTGCGGAAGTCGTGGCTTGCCTGACCCAAGTGATGGATCCACTGCAGACGTCGGTGTTGCGTCTTCCCCTTGGCGAAAGCGGGCCCTTCCCATCCAAATCTATCGGACCTGGCTGGTTGAAGTAGGAAAATTCGACAGAAATGATCAATTCTTCAAATCATTCTGTAGTCCCCCTATTTTTTCAACACGTGCGGTAGAGAAAAATGATCATCAAAAATTGCCCCAGTTTTCCGGCCACGCCCCTTTTCTATCGTGATCCTTATTCGCTTATTGAAGTTCATCTTAAAACCCGCCTTCGATGACCAGGGCTCCGACGTTGTAGTAATTGCTGAAGACCTGAATCGCCTCACATGGGGTTCCAACATGTTCCAACCGCTAAGCCGCTAAGCTCAGCCAGGAAAATGGTTCCAGAGGTGTTACCCATCCACCCAGGTTTTCCGCAAAAGGCATCGTTTTTCGAAAAATGATCAGTCAAACTCAGTCAAACATCAACATATGAAGATATGGCTGATATGGCCCTAAAAAATGGAATGCTGGTGACTAGTTGTGACCAACAGATAAACTGCAGTCTGTATAAGTTTACACTGTAGACCGAAACTCCTAGCATCCCGCGAGCCTTTTGCATCTCAGGGCACAGACTTGCTTCTTGCACCTGGACCCATGTCTCAAGGACAGTGCCATGGGTGTGGATCTGAAATGATCTGGATCAATATTTCTGATGCAACCTGCAACGCATCATGTGAATTCGCCATCTGCACCAAAAAATGACCGCAAATGATGCCTGGTAGGATGGCCAGAAGCCAGTGGTCAGCACTGTGACATTGAAGTCGATGTTACCCAAGGCTCCCTTGCCCTCGGGCAACTGCTCACAGTGATCCCTTAGGAGCCGTGGGATTAGCAGGGCACGTTGGATAAAACGGCAGCAATCACCAAAATACCAAAATAATACAAAATATGCGAAAATCCTCTGGTAAATGATTCAAAATTAAGCAAAAAACTTTGAAGCGCCTACCCTTTTTTAGTTTTCGGCAAGTGGCTTGAAGTCCTTCTGAGTGTCGAGGGCCAAGGACAAGTCCGTCAACATACCTAGATCGAAACAGTCACTCCGGTTCAGCCGTCGGTGGGTAGATTTCATGGTAAATCGATTTACAAACAAATTAATCGTACCATCCAAATATACCAAATTTGAAGTTGTTCTCGCAAATATGGCCTTGACTATCCAAATTTGAGGTGTTTCTTGATGTTTCTTGCGTAAATCCAAATTTGAATATACCATCATAGCAGTACGCCACGATCCAAGTTCCAGACCCTCGAGTTTCGAAGTAAACTGAGCACCACACCTTGGGATGTGGAAGGTTGGTTTGGCTTGGAGTGATACATTATTAAGATGTGCAATATAGATATATATACACATTTTTCCACATATGTTCTATATAGACATAGATGTAGATATAGATATTTATATCGATATAGACATAGATCAACATGTATGGAATATATATATATATATGTATGTACAGCTGTGATCATCTCTTTATACAACCAGCAAAGTCATGGTGATATGTCTCACCATGTTCCAGCTACATGATCCCATCTTGAGGCGGATGCTTCATCTTCAATTTGGCGATCATGCCTGCAGGCAGCTGGACAGATAGAGACCGGTCAGCTGGGGCGTGCATTCCCCTCTGAAACTCCATCAGTGTCAACATTGGTCAGTGCATCTAAGCTTTCACCTATGATATGTATGTCTATGTATATGTATGTATCTATATATTTATATTATATTATATATAATACACTATATAGTTATATATATATATATATTATACATTATATATATTATATATACTATATGTATAATAATAATAATAATATATTATAATATATATATATATATTAATATATATTAATATATATATATATATTATTATTATATATTATTATATACATATATATATGTATTATATTACATGTATATATATATTATCATATGTATACATGATATATATTGTATATATCTATACATATATATACATTATATATATTATACATTATATTATATATAAAACATAAATATTATGTATTTATATATATACACATTATGTATATATATATACATTATATTATATATATATACATTATATTATATATGTATACATTATATTATATATACATTATGTAAACATTATATTATAGTTCATATTATATATACATAATGTGTATATAATATATAATGTGTATATATATACATTATATGTTTATATATATATATACATTATATATATATACATTATATATACCATGTATATATATATTATATTATATATTTGTTATATACATTATATATATATATATATACACATATACATTATATACACATACATTATAGATATACATTATATATATATATTATAGATATACATTATAGATATACATTATAGATATACATTATAGATATATATATATATTATATATACATTATATTATATATATATTGTATATATATACATATATATATATATATGTATATACATTGTATATATATATACATTATACATATATACATTATACGTCTGTACATTATACATATATACATTATATATCTATACATTATATACATATACATTATACATATATATATACACATTATATATCTTTACATTACATACATATACCTAATATATATATATACATTATGTATATAATATTTAATATGTATAGATATATATTAGATATATATATATGTATGTATGTACATCTGGAAACAGCAGCGAATTCCCATCCCTGGGATCCCCTGGGCCACCCCCACTCTTCTCTGCATCTTCGGACGCAGAAGTCTCGTAGAGCAGACGCTTGGAAAGTTGATTCCTGGTTGAATGCTGTGTAGTTCAGCATATCTACTTGAGAGGGGGGGGACGAAAGGTAGGGGGGGAAAAGACAGGAGGGAGAGGCAAGAGAAGGTGCGACTGTTTGTAACGCAAGCACGCCGACGACGACGACGACGACTACTACTACTACGACTACTACTACTATGACGACGACTACTACTACTACTACTACTACTACTATTACTACTACTACTACTACGACGACGGCTACTACGACGACGACTACTACTACTACTACTACTGCTACTACTACTACTACTACTACTACTACTACGCCCAGGCCCGTTAAACTTTACATTCAATTGGGAAGATCAACAAGGGTATTCGGGAATATTAAACTCCCACCCCCGTTAAACTTTACATTGAATTGGGAAGATCAACAAGGGTATTAGGGAATATTAAACTCCCACCCCCGTTAAACTTTGCATTCAATTGGGAAGATCAACAAGGGTATTAGGGAATATTAAACTCCCACCCCGGTTAAACTTTACATTCAATTGGGAAGATCAACAAGCGGATTCATGACTTCGTGGAAATTGCGTTGAAGAGTTTGCCGATTTCTAACGTTAGATGTACAAGGTAGGCATTTTGGACAAGAATCGGTTGGAAAGAAACTTTTGGAGTAGTTTGAAAAGCTCACCCAAGCAGCTGGAATGTTTGTGTGCTTGTTGTTGGTGAATCGTTATTCTTGTAGGTATACCGTGTTGTCAGCACGCGGACTCATTGGACGGGCCTCCAGGGAGTCGACTGAGCTAGTTGTTGACGCTGTGGAGGCGCTTCCGCCACGTCTACATAAAGTATCGTTTTTTGTTCTGTACACTGACGTTCCGAACTCCGAATACGTGGACCCGGTGGAGGGGCCTCCAAAGGGTCAACCAAGTGAGGGGTTGACTCTGTGGAGGCTCTCCCACCGGGTCCACAGAAACTATTGTTTTTGGTTAGTTGTTGACTTTGTGATTTCTAGCAAGTTTACATAAAGTCCAACCGGGTCCACAGAAACTAATGTTTTTGGTTAGTTGTTGACCTTGTGATTTCTACTAAGTATACATAAAATATCGTTTTTTGTTCTGTACAATTACGTTCCGAACTCCGAATAGGTGGGCCCGGTGGAGGGGCCTCCAGAGGGTCAAGCAAGTGAGGGGTTGACTCTGTGGAGGCTCTCCCACCGGGTCCACAGAAACTATTGTTTTTGGTTAGTTGTTGACTTTGTGATTTCTAGCAAGTTTACATAAAGTCCAACCGGGTCCACAGAAACTAATGTTTTTGGTTAGTTGTTGACCTTGTGATTTCTACTAAGTATACATAAAGTATCTTTTTTTGTTCTGTACAAGTACGTTCCGAACTCCGAATACGTGGACCCGGTGGAGGGGCCTCCAGAGGGTCAACCAAGTTAGGGGTTGACTCTGTGGAGGTTCTCCCACTAACAAGGGTATTAGGGAATATTAAACTCCCACCCCGGTTAACCTTTACATTGAATTGGGAAGATCAACGAGCGTATTAGGGAATATTAAACTCCCACCCCCGTTAAACTTTGCATTCAATTAAGAAGATCAACAAATGTATTAGGGTATATTAAACTCCCACCCCCGTTAAACTTTACAGTCAATTGGGAAGATCAACAAGGGTATTAGGGAATATTAAACTCCCATCCCCGTTAAACTTTGCATTCAATTGGGAAGATCAACAAGGGTATTAGGGAGTAGTAAACTCCCACCCCCGTTAAACTTTACAGTCAATTGGGATGTTGATGATGTTGATGATGATGTTGTTGCTGATGATGCTGATGATGATGATGATGTTGATGAAATGAGGGAAAAATTCGTCATCCGTTTGCACAAACGAACGACACGGGGAATCTCACAAAACATTGGCCCTGCGCAGTCAAAACGCACTTTCCCGGGCAGCACATCCGTCCTGGCCGTAGTACTACTACTACTACTACTACTACTACTCCTCCTGCTACTACTACTACTACTACTACTACTACTTTTACTACTACTACTACTACTACTACTACTACTACTACTACTACGACTACGACTACGACTACTACTACGACGACTACGACTACGACTACTACTACTATCATTCGTATGGCACCTATCTCACTAGAATTTACCAAAGAACAGAAAACATAATTTTTTGGGGGTTGCGCTTCATCTCGCCTCGATGAAGCACAACCAAGTGCTTGGGAGCACAACCAAAGTCATTTATCGCACAAACATGAGCTTGGTTGCGCCCCCAAACGCTGGGTTGCGCTTCATCTCGCCTCGATGAAGCACAACCTTGGAAAATGATATTTTTTTTATCTTCTTTGGTAAATTTATGTCATCCAGACCGTAGCATATTCTAACTTCGCGAAAAACGCGAAAAAAGCGAAAAAAGTATCAACGTCGGAAAAGCGAAAAAGCAAAGCAGCAAAATCTAAAAAACACAAAAGCAGAATAAAAGGAGAAAAAAGAAAGGAAAAACACGGAGAGGCTCAAAGGGAAAAATGAAACAAGAGTTACATTTTTTTGTTTTTTCACGCTTTCTTTCAAGTTTTTCGACAGGCAAAATAATCTATGGTCTGGAAGACATAAATTTACCAAAGAAGATAAAAAAATATCATTTTCCAAGGTTGTGCTTCATCGCGGGGAGATGAAGCGCAACCCAGCGTTTGGGGGCGCAACCAAGCTCATTTTTGTGCGATAAATGACTTTGGTTGTGCTCCCAAGCACTTGGTTGTGCTTCATCGAGGCGAGATGAAGCGCAAGCCCGAAAAAATGATGTTTTATGTTCTTTGGTAAATTCTAGTGAGATAGGTGCCATGCGAATGATTTGAATAGGGGTCAGCATGATGTTAACGTTTATGTTCATCGTGGCACACCCAGTGGCGAAATGCTTTGATCCAAACATATCCGACGGCGACATGATGACATGATACACTCCACTACACCACACTACATTTCACTACTCTACATTGCACTGAATGACACTGCACCACAAATAGACAGGTAGACAGGTAGACAGATAGACAGATACACAGATAGACTGATAGACAGATAGACAGATAGACAGATAGACAGATAGACAGATAGACAGACAGACAGACAGATAGATAGATAGATAGATAGACAGACAGATAGCCAGGTAGACAGATAGATAGATGAAAGAGAGAGAGAGAGAGATAGATAGATAGACAGACAGATAGATAGATAGATAAATAGATAGATAGAGAGAGTTTTGAGCGATAGATGGGTGGAGAGATAGAGAGATAGATAGATAGAAAGATAGATAGATAGATAGATAGGTAGATAGATAGACAGACAGATAGATAGATAGATAGATGGCTAGATAGATTGATAGATAGATAGATAGGTAGATAGATAGGTAGATAGAAAGACAGATAGACAGATAGACAGGTAGACAGATAGACAGATGAAAGCGAGAGAGAGAGATAGATAGATAGATAGATAGATAGATAGAGAGAGAGAGATAGATAGATAGATAGATAGATGGCTAGACAGATAGATAGATCGATGGATAGATAGATAGATAGATAGATCGATAGAAAGATAGATAGATCGATAGATAGATCGATAGATAAGTATATAGATAGAGAGATAGATAGATAGGTAGATAAATAGATATATATGTGTAGATAGATAGATCGATAGATCGATAGATAGATAGATAGAAGGATAGATAGGTAGGTAGGTAGGTAGGTAGATAGATAGATAGATAGATCAATATATAGATAGAGAGATAGATAGATAGATAAATAGATAGATATATATATATATATAGAGTTAGAGATATATATATATATATAGATAGATAGATCGATAGATCGATAGATTGATAGATAGGTAGAAGGATGAATAGATAGATAGATAGATAGATAGAATTGATAGAATTGATAGAATTGATAGACTTGATAGAATTGATAGAATTGATAGAATTGATAGAATTGATAGAATTGATAGAATTGATAGAATTGATAGAATTGATAGAATTGATAGAATTGATAGAATTGATAGATTGATAGATAGATAGATAGATATGATTGATTGATTGATTGATTGATAGATAGATAGATAGAGGGGTTATATTTATTGGTAGCTGGGGGTGTAAGCCAAGTACATAGACGACAGTCCATTTGGATGACTTAGTAAACCAGAGCTATGAAACATTATAAGTGGTATGACGTGTGCAGTGTTGCTTTCTTGCTTGGCTGTGACGAATTCAGAGCCAACAAATGCCCCACAGAATTACGACCGAGTTTGTGAGCGGAGTAGAAAAACTCGGTCGTAATTTTTTTCCTTCTACAATGCCCGAGAAAGGATTCTAGGTGTATGTGGCAGACCATGGGGCCAGTTGACTATGGCCACTAACCAGATAACTCCTTTGTATCCAGATAGATAGATAGATAGATAGATAGGATGGATGGATAGATAGATAGATAGATAGAAAGATAGATAGATAGATAGATAGAGGGGTTATATTTATTGGTAACTGGGGGTGTAAGCCAAGTACATAGACGACAGTCCATTTGGATGACTTAGTAAACCAGAGCTATGAAACATTATAAGTGGTATGACGTGTCCAGTGTTGCTTTCTTGCTTGGCTGTGACGAATTCAGAGCCAACAAATGCCCCACAGAATTACGACCGAGTTTGTGAGCGGAGTAGAAAAACTCGGTCGTAATTTTTTTTTCCTTCTACAATGCCCGAGAAAGGATTCTAGGTGTATGTTGCAGACCATGGGGCCAGTTGACTATGGCCACTAACCAGATAACTCCTTTGTATCCATGTATGTTTGTAAATATGTCTGTCTGTCTGTCTGTATGTATGTATGTATGTATGTATGTATTTATGTATGAATGTAATGTTATGTAATGTGATGTAATGTTATGTCACATTAAGTCGTGTAATGTTATGTTATGTTACATCATGTATGTCTGTATGTATGTATGTATGTATGTATGTGATGTAATGTTTTTTCACACTAAGTCATATAATGTTATGTTATGTTACATCATGTATGTCTGTATGTCTGTATGTCTGTATGTCTGTATGTCTGTATGTCTGTATGTCTGTATGTATGTATGTATGTCTGTATGTATGTATGTATGTATGTATGTATGTATGTATGTATAAAAAGATGCACAGACAAATCGATCGATAGATAAATAGATAGATAGATAAATAGATACGTAAATAGATGGATAGATAGATGGATAGATAGATAGATAGATCGATAGATAGAGAGATAGAACGATATAGATAAATAGATAGATAGAAAGAAAACAAAAGAAATAGATGGATAGATAGATAGACAGATAGAAGCATCGATCGATAAATAGATAGATCGACGGCTACATAGATCGATAAAAAGATAGATAGATAGATAGATAGATAGATAGATAGATCGATAGGTAGATAGATAGATACATAAAAGAATAGATAGATAAATAGATATATAGATACACAACTGACTAGATAGATACATAGATAGATAGATGGATAAGGAGGTAAGTACATAGTCAGAGACAAAGAAAGAAAGAGATGCGGACGGGGGGTCGAGAGATAAATAGATAGACAGACAAATCGATCGATAGATAAATAGATAGATAGATAAATAGATAAGTAAATAGATAGATAGAGCGATAGATGGAGAGATAGATACAAAGATCGATCGATAGATAGAGAGATAGAAAGATATAGATAGATAGATAGATACATAGATAAACAACTAAATCGATCGATAGATAAATAGATAGATTGATAACTAGATACGTAAATAGATGGATAGATAGATAGATAGATAGATCGATAGATAGAGAGATAGAACGATATAGATAGATAGATAGATAGATACATAGATAAACAACTAAATAGATAGATACATGGATAGATAGACAGACAGAAGCATCGATAGACAAATAGATAGATCGATAGCGACGAACTAGATAGATACATGGATAGATAGATCGATAACGAGTTACGTACATAGTCAGAGAAAAAGAAACAAAGACATGCGGACCAGGGGGGAATCGAATGGGGGGGGGGGCCCCCCCCCCCTAAGTCTCCGTTCGTGACTCTCGGGTCTCAATTTCCGGGAAAGGAACATCCACCTCCCCCAGTACTAAACTAGTACTAAAGTACATAGAACTCAGGTAGCCTAGGCTACCTTTCGTGATATGTCAATCACATCCTTTAATGGATTGACTTCGGCACCAAATGAAACTATTTTCATCAACTGTGAACAAAACAGGCGCAGCGGGACGCAATAAAGCGCTGGGTGAATCTGTGGTTAATTTGGGTCCAACTTTTTGCCATTGGATCGCGCCGCGCCTGTAGATCTCGGCAAAGAGGTCTTTGTCGCTGAGGAAGGAAAAAAGTTCTACCTCAATGACACATCTGATGTTCCCACTGTGGAGACAGCTTTCCAGTCATTGGGGGACTTCAACGGTCCGCATGTTTTGGTCATCTTTTATACCAAACCATTCATTTTTTGGTATATATTAAAACATATATTAAAACCCATCCGTTTTTTGCACAAAACCGTCATTTGTGCATATAGTGCAAGATTGAACCATCTAATCTATGTTTTCGGTCCAAGAATTGTGTTCCCCCAGCCACGTGCCAAAATGGTGTCCTTAGGGCCAAGGTTCTCGCGTGTTTTTCGATGCTATGTCACCGAAAAATCTGCGATGAAATGGCAAATCTACTTGCAAGATCTTGCAAGTTGTTTAAAGCAACTTATATACATCATATGTACATCGAATTTTCCTCGCAGCCTTGTGCCGCGGCTACCAATCCGCATGGACCTGCTCCAGCCGTTGCGCTACCTGGCCAGCAGTGCGGGCAGTGGGCTGTGTGGACGGTGGAAAAATGTTTCAAGAAACTCTTCGCTACTGTGCATCTTTCCTCAAAGCCCACTGAGTTGGTCTGAAAAACGTGGTTCAATTATGTCTAAGATTGTCTAAGTACCCAAAATTCTTCTTTTTCCACCATGATTTCTACCCCTCCAGTAATCAAACATGGTTGGCTAGGAAATTCCCAGCCACAAAATGGAGGTTAAAAACTGGGATCCCATGGGCGAACTCAATGGGGCGATTTGCCAGCTAGCCATGTTTAATTGCCGGGTAAATATTTGAAAGCACCTACAAATTGCTAATTTTCCATGGATATGTCAAGTTACCCATTTTACCATCAATTACCAGAAAAAATTGTACCATCCGCCACAATAACATAGACCCTGCCAAACAGAAGAGGGTCCGCAAGAATTTGGCTATTTTCAAGGTCAAATTGCGAATTCCTGGGGAGGAGAAATTGTCTTTGGTTCTCAATTTTCATAAGCATAATCATCCCTCTTATAGTCCCACTAATAATCATCGGGGAAGCTATCATTAGAATACATCATACAAGTCAATCATCCAAAATAATGGTCCCACTAATCCACTAATAATCGGAATACCCTTTCGTAGTTTAACATAGCTATGGAAAATAATAACAATGTTTAATAGGTTAGCATATAGATCATCTATAAATGAGCAATTTTCAATAGCTATGTTAAATTACCTGAGGTCAGTTTGCCGCTTATCCAATAAGCACCAAAATTAGATTATCCATTTACAGTATATCCACCACTAATAATCATAATCCATTCACAATCATAATCCACTAATAATCCCCTTCATTTGCCCTAGTGATTGTTTACTGGTGTTAAAGAATCAATAATTCAATAATAAACCATTCATCATCCCATAATCTCATTATTAGTGATTGGATAATCCAACAAGAGTCCAATAACCCAACAATCATTAATTTGCCAATTATCCACATTGATGATCCACTACATATCACTAATAACCACACCAAATATCCCATTATCTCATAAATAATCCATGAATCATCCACTAAATATCATGAATCGTCCACTAAATATCATTAATCATCCACTAAATATCATTTATCATCCACTAAATATCATTAATCATCCACTAAATATCGCTAATAACCAAGGGTTTATCCAATAAACCCTTGGAATTTTTGGTGCCCTGCCTGCATGGCACGCTGCCGCGCCTGCCGCGCAGCGAGCCCTGGGTCCGCCATGGATCCAGCGTTGGTCAGGTGGCCAGTGCCTTGGGGCTGTGTGTGTATATATGTATAGATATGCATTTAAATCTACACATTTATTGAAATTCACTTATTTATCTATTATGTATATACATGTATATATATATACATGCACATTGACATGTTTGTATACATACATACTTATGGTTAGTCATTGGGCAAAATGCCCTTTAAAACATGAGAAGATTAGCCCAAGTGGCGGCATTGAACCTGAAATGGGTGGCCGGGAAGTGGGGGGTTCAGCCTCATATACGACCGAGAAAATGTGAACCACGAGATATTGAGGTAGCCAGTAGCCAATTTTTCAGGCAAACCTACCCCCAGAAAAAAAAAATCATTCATTCGCAGTATGGGTCATAACTCTCCATGGTATACAACCGTTCATGTTACATGTGGGATCTTGCGAACGACTACAGTATGCAACAAGTCTTCAGATTGGTCTATATCATCATGTTTCGGAATGGTATTTTGGAAAAAATGAAAGCACCATCTATGAAACACATCTAGGAAAAATGCCAGTAATCTTTCGTTCTCCTAGATGTTCAATTGTGCTGGAGCAATCAAACTCGGCTGAATGCTGCCATGCCAACAAACGTAATCTGTCTTCTAATGGCTGTACGACTGAGATTAAGTCTGCTTTGAAGATCTTTGAATCCTGCATGTCAAATTCTCGTTCTGAGATTGTGTTTTAAAAATGAAGCTGGCTTTGGGTTTTCTTTTTTCGGGTAGAATTGGATCATGAAGGAAATGGGTGTGTGTGTGTATGTCTGTTTGTCTGTCTGTCTATCTGTCTGTCTGTCGGTCGGTCAGTCTGTCTGTCTGTCTGTCTCCAATTGGACAGGATTGTCATCAGTTGTGATTTATCTATAAATCCCACAAAGTATCTCAAATATCCCAAATTGGTTAGATAAAGCAGCATTGTTTACCATTTCTGATGGGCAAACTCCAACTTGTCACCATTCTTGTTGGTGAAATCATGCTAAATCGTTCATTTTTCAGAACCTCCGATCAAATCCATCCCTTTCCGCGCCTGAGACCAGAAGGTCCTTGATCTGCAGCCCAAGCTGAGCTAAACTCAACGCCGGAGACCAGCCCTTGGCGCAGGCAGTTGGAGAAGATTCTTTGGGACTTTAAACTTTAAGATTACATGATGTGTATATGTATATTTCTAGATATACATATGTGTGACACCCTATACACAACTACATATTATGCATGCATGGATGGATCCATGGACGGATGGATGGAGTACGCACGTACGTACGTACGTACATACATATATATATATATAGTGTTTATATATATAGTGTATATATATAATACATATATAACATATATTATAATATATATATATAATTATAATTATATATATACATATACATATATATGCACACATGGATGACTGTATCGTTTCACCAGGGTTTAATCCAGGTCGCGCTTTGAGTGAGCACTTCCATGCACAGAGCTCCATGCTCATGCACCCAGAAGCTGCCTTTGTCAGGTCAACATGCACCACACCAGCAACTAACAAAAAAGTGGAATATTATATTATAGTACACATGATGTCATGAATTATACTATATATAATCTAATGTAACATTAATATTAGTACTGTTGCAATTATCTATCTACTATACTTACCCTCTGGTCAACTAGCATAGATGTGGAGAAGCCACTTTTGGTAGATCACTTCCTAGGAAAACCATTGATTTTCCACATCTATGTTTGCTTGCTCCAGGGTAGCCGACAAACATGAAAAGATTTATATAGTAGCCCCGGTAAAAAAAAAAAAAACGAATCATTTACCGCTGTTTGAGGAGGATCTTACTAAATCCTATCTTTGGGGGTGCCGAAATGATGTAAAACTTGACTATCAGAGGGTTCAACTTCCCTTGTAAACGATCTTCAAATCAAGGTGCCTGGAACAGAATTGAGAACACCAACAGGGAAGCCATGGTTGCTGGACGTAACATGAGTCGTCTGGAGACTTTTTGTGACCACATCATTTCTCCAAGATGTTCATGGAAAATCTACACGTGTCATTCACCCCAAAACTCATGGTGTGCTTTTTGCTTAAAACTGGTGATCCCATGGTTTCCCGCTTTCAATTTGATAGAACCCAACAAAAAAAAACTACTAGAAAAAAACATAAGAAACTCATCTGTTTTTCCTGGCAGTTTCCCTGAATTTCATGCTTTTTTGGTGGGACCTTCCCTGATTTTCACCATGCTAACCCTGACCTGGTGCGAAGCGGGGGCGCATGACCCTCACAGCTGGTGGCGCGTGCGGAAAGCTCTGGCAAATCCATAGCTCCAACTCGACCTCGATCTCCCCGCCAGGTGAAATTGGGGAAAATCCGCAGATGAATTGGATGAATATATGATTGAAATTGGAGAAATCCCATTGAAATGGGAGTTGAATGGATTTTTCTGGGATTCCAATATGATTGATTGAACGGGATTTCATCGGAATGGCGCAATATTTTTGGACCCATGATGCACTCTTCAGAGAGCCTGTCAGTGGTACATATTAGAGGTTCACCACCAATATCGACATTGATTCTACCCTCTGGTAAACTAACATAGCTATTGAAAATGACCATTTATAGTGGATTTTCCCATGAAAAATGGTGATTTTCCATAGCTATGTTAAATTACCAGAGGGTATCTTTATGTTTGCTGCTAATTTGGTCGGAATTGTAATTCATGTCCCCATCTGTATCGGTCCCGGGGGCATGGTTCTGGTTTCGTACTGCAAATGATTTGGGCCTCTACGAGGATTCCCACACAGCGAAAATTCAAATTGCCGATTGAGTTCATTTTTTTTATACCTCGTAATTTACATTAATTTACCTATTGTAGTAGTTGACCTATGTCGGCTATGTCGGCTGCTTTCCTAAACCCCAACGACGTGTTGCCTGGCAACTGCATCCACCTCCCAACGACGGAGTTCATGCCCCAGCGTTGAACTGCCAAAGCCTCGGGCTCGGGCTCGCGACCAGCAGAAGGGCTTCACAATGAACGCAATCAACAACAGTATTAGTGTTGATTCAACAAGAAAGGTGATATATACAATATGTATGTATATATATATATATGTACATGTGTTTTTTGTCAGCTATCTGACCAATATGAACAAGTTGATTTGTTGGTTTCAGGAAATACATAGAAAGGCTGTATTATCCAACAAGAATGGTGATAAAACCAGAAAAATGGCACGGAACGTGTCTATTGTGTATATCAACCAATCATCTGCTTCAAATATGTCGAATCCCATCCATACCCCAGAAACTGGCAAAAAATGGATGGCAAAATCCTACAGTCCACCAGATCTTTTGAGGAATAGGACCTGCCAACTGTTGGATCCGCACCTTCAGTGTATAACAACATCCTCCAGAGCCGTAGATCCCCTTCCTCTGCGAGAGAAAGTTCCAACCTGCCAGCATCCCCAGGCATCCACCGGCATTTTTTCCAATGAAACCCGAAAAAACATGGCGTGACCGAAAAAATACCCTTCGAAAAAATTGAGTTTTAACAGGATAGTATATCCCCCCACCCTCCAGCATCGCCTAAAATTTCATAGATTCGCCCGTCTGTCCGTCATTCGATGTGAATCCCCGTTTGTTGAAGGTGAAGCCACCCATGGTTAGTGATAAAACAACGACTTTAGGACGGAAAATGTACGTGTTCCACTCAAAATCACCGCAAAAAGAAAAAATACTACCATCTTTTATTCATGTTTCACTATCAGTAACTACCAGATGTTCAACTATTTTGCCATGACAAAAATGACCAAAATTCCTCACAGTTCCGGGGTCTCATCGTTTTCCACGCCACAGCACTGGTGCTCCGCGCGCAGCGCTGCGGCACGTTGCAACGTCGCACGCAGCTCCAGAGCCAAGCGCCGGGAAGCGCTGGAGGGAAGAGCCTGGGCACCTGGTGGCTGTGTGGCTCCGGTGTCATCTCTATGGCTGGGAAGATCATAGGAAAATATTGGAAAATCATCGAAAATCCACAAACTAAATGGAGCTGTTTGATGAGAAAAAATTGGAAAAACCGTTATACATGGGCACTTTAATGGGAAAATCATTGAACAAAATGGTGAATTGTCTATTGCCATGTTTGATTCCCAGACAGTAGCTGGGTTGGAATGGGGTTCCAATTTAAGCATCTACTTTTTTGGACCGGTTTGAATATGTCATATCAATCTACCAGCTATAAACAAAATATCATGATAGTATCCTTATTCTAAGCCATGTAGATATATACCTATATCAACCATATGATAGTTGGAAATATGCTACCAGTTCTCTTTAACTGAGCACTATGTTTCCAACCAGCCCACTGCTGCCCTCAAAGGCACCATCTGCCAGCTGGCTTGACTCGGGAAGGGCCTCGCACAAATGAAGGACGCTCCCAGGTTGATATAACCATCATAAACCTATCAAAAAGCGATCATACAACGATTGTATAACCACTGTTAATATAGACCATTATTAACCACAGTTAAACATTATTGGAGAACAGTCTACTTTTCTTAATATGGATTAACCACTACATTCATAATATATCATAATATCAATATATGATCATTAATAATCATTAACATAGTATCAATATATGAACATTAATAATCATTAATATGGATTAACCACTATGAACCATGAATTTTCCACTATGAATTGGCTATTTTCTCCCTGTCACAGTCGTCGTTCCAATCCTCTCGGCCGGCTCCTCGTTCGCCTCTGCCGGCTCCATGTCTAGGCGCAAGATATCTGTGACCTGGCGCCGGTGATTCACACTACATAACAGCCATATTTCATGTTGGGTCAAAAGTGAATTATTATCAACATATTGGGACATAAATTACAAAAACATATTCAATTTTGTATATTTCATGTTGGGTCATAAACTCTAAAAAATGAATTATATTCAACAATTGTATATTCAATAGTTAAATCTAGGAGGATAGTCATACAATGGTTGGGTCAAAAGTATATTCAACAATACGCAATAATATTGGGACAAAATTAAATACCTCGAAACAAGATAAATTGACGTCAGAAAATATATATATCTATATATTGGATCAAACTTGGGCACCCCAACAATTAGATGCTTAATACTAAACATATATTTAAAACTGTGGTCCCATAGGGCTTAAAGTTTCACCAATCCCCTCTATATATTTCTAGATATACATATGTAATATGTATGTATACTCTGTGCAGATATGATGATATATATGATATGTGGTAATCATATGAAATCATGATAACTCATGGAATACCGATGGTGCATTTTTTGCTTCGCGAACATGGCCAGAGTGAATCTTTTCCATTCCGCCTGGCTCCGGCACAGCGGGCAACGCTTGCGGCCAGCGCCGGAGAAACGCAAGCTTCGAGCGCAATCGTAACAGCAGCAGAAGTGCCGACATGGCAACCTGGGCAACCTGGTACTCTCTGGTTTAATGGGATTTGATGGGAATTTTAACAGACAAAAATAGTGATCTGATGGTGAGTTTATGGGTCTATAACCATAATGTCACATTTTTGATGATTATAATTGGTTTGTTGGTATATAACTGGATATAAGTAACTAAGTGGATATATATATATATATAAGTGACTTACTGGATATAAGTGTAGAATCACTTAGTTAGTATTGTCGTATTGGTCGTCATATAATCGTGTCACCCTTTGGTTTACAAATTGACGACATTGGAACATGACAAACTGGTGATAGGCAATCCCATGCCCCTAACATGAAATACCCCCTTGTCAGCCTCTGGTTTAGTACTCGCCCTATTCATTTGGGGGGCCATTTTTTGTTTATCCATTTGGTTCACAAAGAGACCACACCAGGTGCCATGATAAATTTGATATTGGTGAACATGCCATGATTCTCATGTTCAAATGGATGACATTTGGTGGATTCTCATGGTGTCGGAAAAACATAATTTATGTCCTAATGGTTGCAGTAAAGGTTGTATAACCATGATTTACGTCCTAAATCGCTGTGACATGATTATAAGCTTTGATGATTTATCAGGTTGGTGTCATTATGATCCAACAATCATCAGGTCGGTTATACAGTAATGATTACAAGCTTATAAATCATCAACCCTATGAATGATTATTGGCTACCCTTGATTCCCACATGGGTGATGTTTTTTTAATGAGACATGAATCGCTCTGCTTGATCGCCCTGACCCGGTCCATCCGAGAAACACCGCCGTGTTCTTCGGTGCAGTCAAACAGATGACACCTCAATGGCTCAGGAACCGACTTATTGCAGCTACCTACCCTTTATAGATTGGCGGGCTAATGCGCGCATCTATCGACCAGTGCAGGAAGCAGCGAGAAGCAGGGCTCTCTGGCGAAATATCACTGGACAATACCCCAAACCCGCTCCCCTCAGCCGAAGGCGAACACCACTACACAATGGATGACACTACACAATGGAGTTCCAACTGCGCAACACACAACCGGATCTCTTATCCTCCTCACTGATTGGGTATTAAATATGCGCACATAACCTATGACCTTCCACATAGCTTTCAGAACCACGCTCCTCACTGGTTGTGATCGTTTTAATCATTTCCTACAACGAACCCCTTTATTAGAACTGGAAAAGGTATTTGGGTCGAGGCTGACAGGGAGAGAGACTTTCCCTTTCGTTTCAAAAAAAAAACTACCCTTTATTTAAGGCCTATTTTTGTTTAGGCCTATTTTATTGGGATCTTTACTATATTGACCCCAAAAATCTGGTTTTATATGCTACAGTAGCTCCATTTTAGGGTTCTGAAATTCCCATTGATCAACTGCTTAGCCCCGCCGTTCAGAGCAAGGTCTCACCATGGCCACCCAAACCGGCTCTTCATCTTTGAGGGGAAATCTACGGCTCCAAATCATTTATCGAAATTGATCGTTGAAATGTCAAAAAATGACCACTGTTTATCATCAACTGGTACCATCTATGGCTTTGTCTGAAAACGAAGGTTACCCCAATTCCGACACTTCTGGCGGTTGATCCTCATTTTCCCTGTTAAAATATGGTCATTTGGCTGGCGGGTATACTTCATTTTCGGACAATTGGATGGTTTTACAATGTTCAATACGTAACATGTTCAAAAAACTAGAATTAAATTTACTTAACAAAAAATGGTGGATCAAAGACCACCCCACCTTTGGCCATACCCATCATTCGTGCCCAAGAGACACGCACGTGTGCTCGAATCATCAGCCGCCGAGTGCAACTCCTGTGAAAAGCAGGGTTCGCACTGCCAGAATTGAAGAATGTGGCAGATGGTTCTACCATCAAGAAAATAGAAAAAAAATGTCCTTTAACCATCAAAATTTGAGTTTAGCCAGGTTTAACCAGTGAATATAAGGATTTTGTGTGGATGTAATGGGATATGGTGCCATATGATGGGATATAACGGGATATAATCGGATGTCATCAGATATAATTTATAATCATATATGATTGGATCATTATATATATTTATATAATGGGATATTTTTTAACATAGAGAGACCCTGCCTATTGCTAGTTTTTAGAGCAATGAATTGTCTCCCAACCCCAAACTCATGGAAGATTCGTCTCAATCGGAAGGAGAACCAACACATGTGGGGATTTCACATGACCAGAGCCGCTCTTTGGAGGGATAACCATCCATCTTTGGCCCGGCATGGCCCGCAACCAACAAGATGTGCTCATCCGACCCGGTCGACCCGGCACCTGAATACCAAACATCTCCTGAAGTTGAAATGCTTGACCTGGAAAAAAGTGGAAAAAAAGCACCAAAAATACTGGGATTTCTGAGGACCATCGCCCGAGATGTTTTTTTGGCGATTACAAGAGTACCCAGCCTCTCCATGCGATGATTTGTTTCATCACCACCAGGCCTGATGGCAATGGAATTGTCGATAGCTCCCTAGAAATTCACTGGACAATTCTGGAAAAACTGAGAAATTCACCAAACAAAGGCTGCCAAAATGAAGATTTGACTGACTGAAGCACAGAAAATCAGGACTCATCCAACCAAACAGGGACACGACTCACCACAGATCTAGTCCGAGGCTCCGCCATGTCTCCGGGCGCAGAAGACCATCACCTGCTAGCACGGTATTGCCGATCTTACTCAAACTTGCCAAGCTGTAGACTTTCGAAACTTCCAAAAACATCCCATGGCTTCGGTATCCATTGAATTCTGCACTATCTTCCCACTTCCACTTCCCCCGCCCCGCCGTGCCATCCACGGCCGTGCCAGTCGTGCCAGTCGTGCCAGTCGTGCCAGTCGTGCCAGTCGTGCCAGTCGTGCCAGTCGGGGTCGTGTCAGAGGCTTCACCGGGCTGGAGCAACAGGAGCCTATGGAAGTGAGGAAGCGAGGGGTTTTCATCCTAAGACAGGTTCATATGGTGGATATTTGGTGCTTCTATGGTGGTTGGAAAGGTGGCTGACTAATCGCATCCCCGATCCTATAAAACACACCCTAGTGGGACCCCAGTTAATGAATAAATCCAATGCTAAGCCATGGTTTCGTTTGGGGAATGTTCAATATGAGGGGGATGGAATTAACCATGCTGATGAAGCAAAGTGGTGAAATATCAGGCGAATCAGTCAAGGCTCAGTGGTTCATACAGCAGCCTCCCAGGTCACCCCCCCCTCCCCCCCCCAATGGGTATGGGTATACAGGAGCTATGTTCCCCGCCCCCCCCTGTGGGTGGGTGGGGGTGGGTTAGTAGCAGCAGTAGTAGCAGTAGTAGTAGTAGTAGTTGTTGTTGTTGTTGTTGTAGTTAGTCGTAGTGAGTAGTAGTTAGTAGTAGGAATGGGTATGGATATACAGGAGCTATGTTCCCCGCCCCCCCTGTGGTAGTTAGTAGTATGTAAGTGAGTAGTAGTTAGTAGTAGGAATGGGTATGGATATACAGGAGCTATGTTCCCCGCTCCCCCCTGTGGTAGTTAGTAGTATGTAAGTGAGTAGTAGTTAGTAGTAGGAATGGGTATGGATATACAGGAGCTATGTTCCCCGCCCCCCCTGTGGGTGGGTAGGGCGGTAGGGGGGTTAGTAGTAGTTAGTAGTATGTAGTAGTGAGTAGTAGTTAGTAGTAGGAATGGGTATGGATATACAGGAGCTATGTTCCCCGCCCCCCCGTGGTGTGGTGGGGGTGTGGTACTGCCTTTATATATATATATATATATACATATATATATATACATATATATATGTAAACATGTATGTGTATATATATATACACATGTATATATATATGCTTTTTTATGTGTATATATATATGTATGTATGCGTACATATATATATATATATGTATATATATATGCATATATATATATATACATACATATATATATATATATACATATATATATATATACATATATATATACATGTATGTATATATACATATATATATACATGTATGTATGTGTACATATATGAATATATATATATGAATATATATATATATATGAATATATGTATATATGTGTATATATAAATGTATATTTAAATACGAATATGAATACATATGTATATATATATATGTATGTATCTATGACATGTATATATATACATATATTTATAGGAAGTAGATAAGGATATGCTTATGTGTCCAAAAGGTCCTGTTCTTCTGAAGGCGATAAGGATATGCTTACGCGTCCGCTTGCGCCTTGCTTACGCCACCACAGTTTTGGCTTACGCGAGGGATTTTGTTGAATTTGCACTTACGCGGAGCTTACGCTTACAGGTTTTTGCACCCCACCACAGCGCCAGCTTACGCGCAGCAATGTTTACAAGCAGAATGCCATGGTCTTGGAATCTCCGTCAGGCATCAGATGCGGTAGAAGTAGACGAAGATGAGGAAGTCCGGAAGGAGGGTCGCATCAGCCATAGAAGGACAATGTCGTTGCAAAAGGTCAGACATTGTTTGCACAATTTCCCGTTGGCGGCGCGGCATTACTTCAGAGAAGCCTCTTTCTTTGGGAGGCATTGTGGACTCGGAAAAGGAATGTGGGCTTACGCGGACCTTACGCGCGGCTTACGCGGAGCTTACGCGGATTTCCGGGGTCAACCTCTGTCCAATTTTAACTTATGATAAGAATCGTAATTATGTGGTGGGCACTCCGGCTCTTTGGCCATGATTGATCAAGAAAATGGCTCGAGACGCCACGATTCCACCAACCCAAAAGGCAGCCCGATCACTCATGCGAATTACTTGCCAAACCTTTCGTGTGATATGTAATGCCCCAAACTTACCCTTTGAGTAGTATTGGATAGAGAGGGGATGCCATGCAGAATTAAGTTCCATCATGGGTTGCAAACCAATGTTTCAAAAAAGGTAGTCCAACATGTATGCATGGATTTCACATAGCTACAAATTGAGAAAAGTCCTGTTGGAACTCTGCAAGTATGACCTTACGCCAGGAGCTTACGCACTGAAATGCTTCAAAAAAGCTTACGCGGGCTTACGCCCACCACATTTTGGCTTACGCCAGAGGCCCTTACTGCCACCCTCTTACTAAAGATGAATAGGGGGGTTTTGGACGTGGCTCTAATATGACTATAGGTAGCACGTAGGTACTTTGAGGGAGTATGTGTGCTACGTGGGTCGTCTAAAGGGTAGCATGTACCTAGTAAATGGGAGGCTGGTAGTCAGAATCGCTGCAAAAACCTAGCAAATACGAGGCTGGACCTCAGAAATGCTGCCAATAGCTTGCAAATAGAAGGGAAGGGGGGTGCTACCTGGAGACCCATCCCATTCGGGGGGGGGGGACCTCGCGGGCGGAAGACGGGATCATATGATGCTATATATTTGTATATAATATTATGTATATGTATATATATATATTATATATACATATTGACAATGGTGCACATGGTTCCAATATAGAATAACCCCAAGCAACATCTGGGTAGGGCTAATTTCATGACATCCAAGTGGCAAGGGCCATGTGTCGCCGGTCGTGTCTGACTCTGCGTCACTCGGAAGGCAGCAGGGCACGTGCACGTCGTAGACGTCGTGGACGTCGTGGGCATCGCAGCTCACCTGGCGAAAAGCTTGGGATATCCTATTTTAAAAAAAAAAAAACATAACATATTATAACATATTATAACATATTATAACATATTATAACATATTATAACATATTATAACATATTATAACATATTATAACATATTATAACCATGTGAAAATGGGGATTTCACTTGGATATAATATGATATAATGATCATTAATAAATGAGCCATAAGTTGGAGAACTTGGGATCTTCGGAAAACCACCGTTTCCCCAGCACCTCCTGGCACCAACGGCCCTGGTACCGCAGCAGCCGCGGCCAGCCGTCGCCGCTCTCGACCTCGGCGGAGCTCAGCAGCGTCACAGAGCCCGCAGCACGCGCGCGCAGCGGCACTAAGACCTGATACGCTTGGAGAGCCCCCAGGCGTACCCAAAGAAAAACAGGAGTAAAACATAGTAAGGACGCTAAGAGCAGTGCAACATTCTGCTGAGATCTAGACATAAAAATCAAAACATGATACCTTGTGAACATCCAGAAGATCTCGCCACAATCCAGAATCAGTGAATAGACGACCAATTCTTGGAGATGTGCAACCCATTTTGGTTCAACATCCGATCCAAGTCACTCCAGTTTGCTGCTGTCTGGGATTTCCTTCCAGCATCAACAGCGGTCGCAGCTGAATTGCCTGTGCCAGTCATCCATTCAAAAGCCATTGGTACCAACAAAATCCCATGGCTTCTCATCATTTTTCGCATTGGAATGGGAATTGGGTGATATCCCCCATTAGTGGCTTGAACTGATCATAGCCTTTAGGGAACATTCCAAGATTGTCCCTGCTGTCCTTGTCACCTGGCGGATTCTGCTCCATGTCACGTGGCAAGCACATGACATGTCTACCGGGTAGACCAGGCTGTTAGCATCCCATGACTCTCGGTGAAACTTGGGACCTTCCAATGGCGCACATCGGCACAGATCTGCTGCTGTGGCAGAGGTACCTGACACGAAACACCGTGAAATCCAGCGTCTTTGGCGGTGGCGGTTCATATCAAACCGAAGGGTGCACAAAGATACGCGCGCATAGCTATGTGCATGTAAATATATAGAGAGAGAGAGACACATATCATATAATAATTGTAAAATATACATCTTATGTATGTCTATGGTTGGGTTTGACGATGTTTTTCCTTGTGGATACAGCCAGTTTTGATTAGGCACACCCCTCCCTTCCAAGCCTCCTCTGACGCAACGCCACCCATGGCGGCATTGATGAAAAGGGGGGATGGCGACACCAAATGTGACAAAATGTTGGACCCAGAAATGGATAGTCATAGTCATTTGCTGTTTTGAAGCATCCAATTTGGGCTGCATTTTTTTTTGAGCTATACCCACCCAAATGATGAAAGTTCCAAACATCATCAAATCAAAAGCCGGTCCAGTTCAAAATGTCCTTCTTCGTGCATGCGTAAGGTAAGTTCTGTGTCGGCTGCCATTTGCAAATCAGTAAGTCGGCGCAAGCTACCGTTGCTGATGCCAGGTGCGAAAGGCGCACACAGAAACAGTTCATCAACTGGGATTTCTCCAGAAATGGCGTGGCTTTCTCTCTACCCTCTGGTAAACTAACATAACTATGGAAAAATCACCATTTTTTATGGGTATGTAAATCAATTATAAATGACCATTTTCAATAGCTATGTTAGTTTGCCAGAGGGTATATGACTTTAAAAATACCCCTATGACATGGGTTGTTCTCATGGGGAAGGTATGATTGTCCCATGCAAGGTGATGCTCAAGTTGTAAGTTGCTAAACCCCATGAACAAGTTCGATCTGTTAATCATAAATCATAGAATTCACCTAGCAGCACCCTGGAAGCCGGGCCATCTTGGTCAACAGGTTCTCCACCTGTTCATCTGACAGTCGTTCTCCTGGCGGGAGACGGAAAATGGGGTATATGAATGGGAAATAAATGAGGATATCATATATGGGATAAAATAGAGGATATAATATCGGATATCATTGATATAATACCTGATATCATGGGATACTAGTGTATGAGATGTGGCGAGCCATGGCACGGATCGGGGATCCCCGCACGGATCCCATAGGATCCAGCGCCTGACTTCTTCAGAATACGATCGCAGAAGGAAGACATCAACGCTGCGAAGGAGAACTGGCGCCAGGGCGAAATTCCAAACTTTCCATAAGACAGGCACGGCACTTGAACATGTCTGAGATTGTATATAAATATAGGCTCTATATACATACTTATATAACTCTAATATATATATATATAATAGGAAATAGCCCAAGGCGTGCTATTTCACTGGCACGAAATGATCTTCCAAGCCATTGGACTTTCGAGTTCCTTGATCCAAAAACAGCCAGCAGTGGCCTTGCCAATGTCGCGGTTCACGAAGACTTCGAAAGCTGAGGCGTGGTTCCAATCGGTGCAGGTGCTACGGTTCGCTGGCCAAGTTGGTTGGTAGCCTAATGTGGTAAACCCAATGACATAAACCATCTCCAAAAAGTTTCAAAGTCATCATTTTTATGGGTGGGTTTGAAACCATCACAAAAACCATCACACTAAGATTTACAGTAACTGAAATTATAGTTATAGATCAACCATATAGTTCATGGCTTTACAAATACCGGTATAGCCATGGGGGGTTAGAAACCAACATCACCATCACTGGGTGGGCCACCTTCAGGGTGGAATGGACCCTCCGAAACCCAGAAAATGAGTCTAGTTTCCTGGGGAATCCGCAAAGTTTGAAGCCCAGTCATGCCTAGTCGGGTTGGAAAACGGACCGACCCATTACGACTCGGCACCTTCTTTCAGAGACTTCTGAAAGCGGGAATCTTGAGAGAAGCACTCATTCACGATGCCTCGCGTCATTGAAACTTTCATTGAAACCTTGCTGGTTTAATCATCGAACATGGGAAACGATGTTTCCCTCAAAATGGCCATCACAGTTGAATAGCGAACAAGGGTGATCAAGCATCGAAATCTGGGGGTTTTCCCCTATGTTCAGACAAACCCAAAAAGTGTGGAAGACCACCATGTTTTCAGAAAAGGGTTGCAATGAAAAATCTCCACAAAAAAAAAGCCTATCCAACAATTGCAAACAGCTAGTCTCCTGAGTAAGATAAACCTTGGAAGTGGTGACGAAAAGCGTCAACTTCTGGTTGCATGTGAACATTAAGTGAATTAAGTGCCCAAAAAACATGGTGACCACATATGGCAGTGTGTCAAAACCTTGTACCCCTGGTGAACATCAAAATAGCTGGTAAATGGATGTTCATCCCCCTAAAAATGTTATTGATAGGTATTGACCCACCCCCATATAACTTGAAAGAAAAAATTGCAACCTCCAGCAGGGTCTCTAGGTCAGCTAAACCACCCATCTTGCCATGGATCAAATCCCTGGTATTCGATCCTAGATCAAGTCACCCTGGTGATGTTCATGGATGCTCGTCCCGAAAAACTCATATGAGAAAATAACATATGCTTTAAGCCATCCTTGTACGTGATGACCTCTATGTTACCATGTTTCCATTGCCATCAATGGAAAAATCCCTGGGTAAATGTCATCATAATTCACCGTAAGCTGAGTAGTTTGGCCATAAATTGGGATATCATCACATGGGTCAAAATGACTGGCCACACTCATGATTCAGCATTAGTTTCCAGTAAACTAACATAGCTATTGAACATGATCATTTTGAACAGGTATATTATATATATATACAATATATATATAGGTAGTAGATCATCCAACTCAACGGACCATCGCAATTTTTTTGCCTTTGAAACGGTCATGAAGCTCCAGCAGGGTCTGGATGAAGGCAGGATCCTCAGCTACCAAGTCAGCCCATCTCCGAAAAAAAAATACCTGGCTTCACAAAAAAAAGACTGGCTTCACCTGAAAAAATTCTTCGGAAAACCAAAAAAAAACAACAAATACCCTCTGGTAAACTAACATAACTATGGAAAATCACCATTTTTAATGGGAAAAATCCACTATAAATGGCCATTTTCAATAGCTACGTTAAATTACCAGAGGGTAAATGCCATTCCATGAGAGTTGTCCCATAGTCAGCCCTTGGCACCAATTTTGGCACAAAATCGCAGTGCCGAAAAAAAACCGGGTGCCAGACGTTCAAGGCTTCGGTCTTGGAACTCACCTGTCTCTGTTGCTCCACTCGCTCGTCCACAATTTGGTTGCCCCTGGCCGTCAGCCAACCAGCTAAGGGTCATTTTATTGGTTTATGGATGTTTATGGGGTTTATCACCACAAACCAATAGTTAATGGGGTTTATATATAACGAACTAATGGGGTTTATAAATATTTGTTTATGGATGTTTATGGTACCCGGCCTGGTAAACATACAAAAAACACCATTTTTAATGGGTAAATCAACTATTTCGACTGGGCCATTTTCAACAGCCATGTAAACGTTTACCAGAGGGTACCATTAACCTAGGGGTGTACCATATTACCCATTTCATAAACCTCATGATGATGGTGACCATGGCATTGGGTGAATCCAACATTGACCACCGTGGGCAAACCATGAGGAGAGAATCCAGTCAGAATCGGAGATATACCTGTCAGAAATGAGTAGAATCTGAGTATAAAATCATGAAATGCTATTTTCATGATTCCGCTGTGGCCTTACACCATTGTTCTCAAAAAAGACTTCTGGAACCTCCACCGACCGAGCAGCTCGGCCTGTCGGTCACATATTGCCGGAAGGAATGCGCAATGGGGGCCAAACCTGGATTGTTCTCTGCAGCCAAGACTCATCATGGGAGGAAACCAGAAAAACGGGATCAGCCAGGACCCCCCCTACCGGCCCTACCGAAACGCTGAAAAAGGTTTTTCAGTTTCAAAACAATACGAGAGAACATTCAAACCACCACGGGTTTCAAAACAGTCTTCAAACCACCAAAAACACACCTTTCGAATCCAGGGCTGAGCAGTGCTCACCATCCTCCACCAAGGAAAACATGCGATGCATTCGGGCCAGGTCCTGGAACTCCATGGTTGATCAATGGACTGGTTTTCTGAATCCAACATGATATCTATATTGCGAATCCAACTGGTTTTGGGAATATCATGGAATATCATGGAAGTTGGAACTCTATTTTCTGAAGCCAACTACTGGATTTTTGATGCGAATATCCTGGGAATATACTTGGAATTTTCATGTTCACAACGGATCGATTTTCTTGGTAAAATCTGGTGACGGTTTCCTGCTGATTTTCGGCCCAAGACCCTATTGTGGGAGATGAAAGAGTTGGAGAAATGGAAATGATCAACTGATAAGGATAATGGGCACCCAATTGATTATCAGTGAATATGATTTTATAATTCTGATCATGACACAAAAATCTGAGGTGAATGTCATCTTCACGAACTTCGAAAAGGCTCTCCGTCTATTTGCAGGTTCAGCCCCTACACACCAAACAAGAGGAAAAATCAAAACATTAAAGGATGATCTCTGGATGATTCGCTTGTCCAAAAGTTGCGGCACAACACATGAACTGACAACAGATTACGTGATGTTACTTGGCACTAAGAAGTCGGCTCTCCGTGATAGCAGGCCTCTCGCTTGTCATTGTCCAAAAGGTACACTACACCCGTCTCTTTTTCCTCAGGCTCAACTGTAGCACGTTCCTCCCAGCGAACCATGAGGCTATGACGCTCGCTAAGATTGTGCAGTGGAACACTACGGTTGTCGAATATTCAATGAATCGAAGTGGTACACACTTCCAGTGCACACACCAAGTCATGCCTTTCCAAGTGCCTCTGAAAACCTGCAGATTGATAGTCTACTATCATATTCACTTTGAATGACAGGTAGGCCGGGCAAATATCCGGATTGTGATGAAATACTCCGGCGGATAGTAGGTAGCTCTGGGTCTGCTTGTAGATTTGTGATAATCAAGCAAACGGAATGATAATTCTCTCAAATGATGAGTGTTGATCAAATCGCTCTCCGTACCAATGCTTTGATACACATTCCCTATTGGTTTTCTTGGGAACACAAATAGTTCTCTAGGGACAAAAAAGGAGTCCTTGGTCCTTGGTTGAGCCCTTGGGCCGCCGGACCAACAACTGCGATTGGGGGTTTGACAGTACAGCTTGAATTACCACCTCAGGCCCGGACCAGTTCAGGGTTTCTTGACAGGTCAGCTACTTGTCTGCTTTTCGGACGTGAAGTCAACCAGTTTTCGTCCGCACAGCAGATAAGTGACTTCTCCCTCAACCCACCACTCTTGACTCTTAGTTCATTCTGTGATGGCAAGTGTCAAATTTCAAAGGACCCATTTGGTCTCCAGCTTCAAATGGACAACGTCTAGTGGATCTATTTTCGATTACAATCAGACACAGCTGCATGACATGAACCTGGAGACAAACCAACTCCTACCAAGGATGAGACATTTTTGAGCTTGGGCAGAGTGGTCCTTCAGGTGCGAAGGAAGAGAACACATTTCCAGCAACGGTCATGGAAGATACAGCAACAAAAAAGGCATCGGCAAGCTCCACCAGCTAAAATGGACACAGTACCCCATGTCGCCCATGTCCACATGTTCCATCATGTTCCCATGTCCTGTTCAAGTAGTTGTAACATCTCTGCTCTTCAGCTTGAAGGGCCGCCTGACAGCAGAGAAGGGCAACCCCTCAAACAAGTTGCGGAAGCCCGGACACCGTCGATGGCGCCAAGTGCCACACCTCCGCTTTCCGGAGGTACTCTGGGAAGGAGTCTTCCGACAACCAACCTCAGGTCCGGTCCATACAGCCCACCTGGATGTGTCTCCAATCCACCCAAATTCAATGAAAATTACATGTCTGCTATATCATATGTCACCATATCCAACGAAATGTCATGTACAGTTCAAACCAAACATGTACATCTCACCCAACTCTCATTAAAATGGATTAACCAATTTGGACCAAGTCAAATCAAAAAAAACCTGTTAATTAATGTATGATTTCTATAGTTTTTATGTCTTTTTGGAGCTCTTCCACGCTTGCTCTTCCGCGACGCACCAGGGCCGCCACCGGAGGCTTGACGAACAAAGTAGCTGCTGGTGGCTGGCAGGAAGGCTTCCTGGCAGTGGGATTCCCAGTTTTTTCTTGGTTTTCATGGGTTCATTGGGTTGGATTGGATTGGTTTACAAATCACGGTTACCCTCTGGTAAATTAACAGTTCGACCCTGGCAGTCATCGGGGTTGGAAGACTAGTGAAACCATTCAAAATTGGTGATTTTCAGGGTCCAACTGTTAATTTACCAGGGGGTAATTCTTGAACGATCATCCCTTTTTTTCATCCCCATGTGCTAATCCCATTCGCTCATGGCTTGGCTGAGCCGCCACTGCTCCGGGCAGACCGCACCTCGAATTCGGTGTTGTAGAGATTCGGGCTGTTGAGACCCAAATCGATGAAAATTTCAATCACACCTCGCAGGATGGAAAAAAAATGAAAAAAAAACTGCTGGTTGATCGTTGTATTCTATATCATCATATATACTGTACTTGTATAAAAGATTCTATAATATCATATATATATATAAGTTGAGTTCCATGATTTGCCATAAACTGAACCCAAATGTATCAGTTTAATAGACTTCCATTGTTTAAAACCTCGAATGTTCCATAGATGGTACCTGTATTCTTTCCCAAATAAAAGTCTATTGAAATACCCTCTGGTAATTTAACATAGCTATGGAAAATCACTATTTTTTATGGGAAATTCCACTATTTCTATGGCCATTTTCAATAGCTATGTTAAATTACCAGAGGGTAACCACAAGTTGAGTTCTCCCTCCATGCACAAAGCCGCTCCGCCTTTCACCAAGTCCTGATCAATGTGCTCACCTGGACACGAAGCAAAAAAAAAACGCGGACGCGACGCTTGGTCCGCGTTTTGTGACCTTCCATACAGTATAGAACTGGGTATATAATGGGTAAACACATTTATATAATCATATGTATATAGCTAACTTTTACATCTATGTGTATATATATATACTCTCTGGTAATCAGGCGATGGCAATGAAACTCGTCGGTTTCTGACTTTACTTCTGAACATTTCAGCTTTCCCAGCAAGCCATGTTTGTTTTCCAGACGGGAACCCCCGTCATGTATGATTCTTGATCACCGAAAAATGCACGGACACTAAATCTGGGGTCCCCATGGACCCAATTGTTTGAAACCAGCCTCTAGGGGCCCTAGGGGTCATAAGATAGAAAAGTCTTTCCAGGATAGGTGATGGTTTCCCATGGTTTCCCCCATCCCCCGGTTTCCAACCCCTTTTCTACAGCGGTCCGCCTTGTCGCTCCTGGTTGATGATCTTCAGCAAAGCCGCGCGGGTGTCTTTGATGACGACTTGAAAGACCTTCCATGGCGTCAGCTGGTGTATGAAGCCCTAATGGGGGCGTGACCCCTTTAAGTGAGGAAATAACCCATGTTTTGACCGCGACATGAAATTGACATGCCAAATCTTCATTGCTAATCATCATTTTCCCTATTAAAATATGACAGTTTGGGGTGAATCCTTCATGTTGAGACCCAAACGGTTTGATTTGTCCTGCCTGCTGATTGAAGATGCTGTACCCCCTGTTGTGCAATGGTTCCACAGACTGCAGCTTCACATAATACCTGTCCTGGCAACAGCAGAAGACAACACGAATTGCTGTGCTCCAACTGTGAATCCACCGAAACGGCTTGGAACTCAGGGATGAGGACAAGCTTAGATATGTTTTAATCATAAAGTTTTGATTATCATAAAGTAATGAGGACTATGTTAAACTATGCTAAATCAAATAACTTTCTGATATATCTGACAGTCCAGCACATCAACTTCCACCATCACCATCGCAGATCGATGGATGGTAAGCAGCCCTTTTGCAGCCCCCGGCGCACCAAATAGGTGAAGAATCGGTCCATCCATTTCACATAGATCTTGTGGTTCGACCACCTGCCGGAGGCGATTTTTTGAGCGATGCCTAACTAGCAGAGTCAGAGTCGACAGAAAAAAAAATATCGAATCAGCAACTGGGTAATATGACTCTGGGAAGTCATATTGGGTAATATGACTTTGATGGCTATTGAATAAGCGAAAAATCAAGACTTGCCATAGCCAGGCTTCAAAAAACCACTTTGCCATACTTGGGAAATCATCCATGCCATCCACTTGTTGATCATCATTTTCATTCATTTTCACCTCATAAAAAACCATCGGGCAAAAAAAGGCACCAATGGGGATGACCATGATGACCGAGGCCGTGCCTATGGAGAAGTTCCTTCATCAGCTGAATGTCAGTCTTGTCCTTCAAAGCGGGCAACACCTGACGTGACCGGAGAGCCGGAGGTGACCGGATCTGACCGGAGATGACCCATTGGGGCCCATGGGCCCATGGCGAAAAAACCGGTCAAAAAACCAACGAAAATTGACACCGAAACGAAGCAGCCAATCAACCAGTGATTCTACCCAATTTAAAGGTTGTATCACTTCCTCATTGGTGTAGTATCTGTATATATATATATTATATATATACACATATAATATGACCTTAAATCATCATGGTGTTTGGGGGAAATGATACATAGTATCATAGTAGCCATATGTATCCATAGTTCTATCTATACAACCATCATAACCATCGCCACGCCTGACGCTGCACGTACTCGGACATGGCCTCCCCGTAACGTCGGTAGAGGTGCTCGGACCTGAAATTCTGGCAACTGACGTGGCAACAAAAGAAACCGCTAGGAATGAATTAGTAGAAATCGTGATTCTTGTTGCTGATACATATGTGTGTATTATTATTGTTATAACATTTTTTATTACTATTATTATAAATATATTTATATATACATGTGTGTGTTGGATCATTGTGAATACATGTACAGTATATATATATATACATGGTATATACTGAGTACTGATGAGTTAGGACTTGTGGCCTCGGATGAGAGAAGACTTGCTAGGGTCTAGTCCTATCTCTTGTGTCCACTGTTTGAAGCGCTTATGGGAAATTGGCTAGAATAGCCACATGAGTTAGGAGTTTCAAATGACAGGTATCCTTCAAATGACTAATAGAACCACATGAGATAGGAGTTTGGCACCTTCAAAGGGCAAAAACAATACTTTACTCATGAGATGGGAAATCAAAAAAACTGGACCCTCCGACAACTCCTATCTCACCTGTACTGAGTATAATAATCTTATTCCATCATGGTTAAGTACTCATCAATCAACCATCATAGCTTATGTCCCTTCTATCACTGGGCACCACCTTGTAGAGGTCACAGCCTCCACGTTGCCATCTCTTGGGTCTGACATTGTCTGACCATCCATTAAGGGTGGGGAATGAATCGAATGAATCAAAAAGCCACGGCTCAATTCATCAATTAAATGGATACTGTGAATAAATAGAAGATACATGAAGATAGGTGAAGATAGATGGAAGGATGGATCGATCGAGAACGAACAAAAAAAAATGATGGCCAGCAAAGCTGTCCGTGGTTGTCATCAGGCTCCTGAAAAGTGAGTTACGGGATGAACATCAATGAACATCCGTTTCCTTAGTTGGATGATTTTCCCAGTGAACGAAACCTCCATTTCGTTCGGGGATCAGCCACAGGTCGGTAAATCAACCAGTGCCACGCTGGGATGTGGCACCAATTGTTCGGCGTCCGCTGAGTGCACATGTTGTACACAGTCCTTGGCGTCAACTGCGTCAACGTATGGCGTGGCATCCAAGAGTTGGTTCAGTGGGACTTCAGACTTATTCAGACTTATCTGATCTGGAGATATCTTCCAATCTAAGCAGGCAAGCGACGTGATGTATCAAAGCAAACCACTTATGACTACGGCAGAAGCATCTTGGACTCTTGGACCTCATGCAAATCGATCTACCTTGGTAGCCCACTTCAGAAATGTCTGCAATCAAGGCTCGTGTACAGCTCAGCATAATTCGCTTTGCTGAACACATTCTTAGGCTTCGTTGGATCTTGGTGCTGAGGCACCTCAGTGCAATGTGCTGAAGCCTACCAAGAAATAATCTTGTGCCTGGTGGAAGATGAGGATGTATCAAAGAAACGACACTTAGATACAATTAGATGTCGTGTCTGCAGAGGCAAAGAAATGACAGAATAACTGTTCTGGAACAAAGAATTCAATTCCAATATGACTATGTATCTTCAAGAATCATTGATGCTATCTTATAATAACTAATATAGAATCTTTGAGGTCTGGATTTTAAGATGTTCAACGCAATCCACAGCTTTTTCCCAAGGCCCCCAACAGCCGATCTAATGTGTCCAGTGTCCAGGAACTCTTCAAGAACCTGTAGGGGTCCACCAGTGATGTGAAAATGGTGGGAAACGCCACAAAATGCGGCCGTTCATCATGGAATCCTAGAGTATTTCCCAAAAAATCAGGAAAAGTACTAATCATATTTCCAACGTTTTCCCACATTTTAATGGTTGTTGGTGTTGTTGGTGTAATGTCAACCCCGGATTCATAAACCCTAGGCTGTTTAATTGGGGGGGGTACCATTTCAGTAGCCATTTATTACTATTTGGGGGAACCACCACAATTAATCAACCAGGCTTTATTAATCCGGGGTTGACATTATAGGCCATTTTCAGACATACCCACGTGTATCCTACCCGATTCGGCCCGCACCTTGATGCCTTCGTTCTTGATCTTTTCCCATCCGTCCTAGGCAGGGCAAGTGGTCGAGCCAATCGCAAGTGGACACCCCGAAAAGTCGCAAGCACTGAATCCTTTCGGCACTCGTTCGTAGTTACATTCAGGAAATATATGTCTAAAAATATATAACTGTATATATATATATGTATGTATGTATATTATATTATACTATACATATGGAAATGTACAGAAAAGGTTTCTATTGTCAGTGAGCAAACAAATTGAGTCCGCCATGGCATGTGGCGCAACCTCCAACGGGACGATGTTGGTAAGTGACCTCGCAGCAACCCAGTGGACTCAGTAGGATGTCGCATCTTTTGGGGAAATCTTGACCGGAAACCATCGATTTTCCCATGAAATTCTCGGTTTTTCCCATTTTTTCCTGTAATTTTCCGGTAAAAACCCATCCATTGACACAACGTTTTTATATGACTTTATATGATTTGACAAATGGCTGGCATGATTCACAAAGACACTAAGATGCCCGCATGGTGTCAGCGGACAGTCACGTCACATATCAAAGCAGCACTGAGCAGCAAATGGCCACAGTCCCAGCAATTTCACAGGCACGCTGCGGCGTCGACTTCAGCTACTGGCAGAAATAGAAGAAAAACACCCCAAACACCGCACCGGAAAGCGAAGGTGCTAGTCAGGAATGCCGGGCTACCAAACAAATATTGAATGGTGTGGATGCTAAATAGACATGAAAGGGAAATTTCTCACCAGGGCAAGTTTGACCCTTGTCTTTTTCGCTCGCCTCAATCAGAGTCATCAGGAAGTTCTGTGAAGTTTTTCTTCATCTCCCGGAATCTTTGCTGGTTTGTGTCTCTAACCATATTCGTCAAATGACTCGCAGACTGTGCGCTTCGGAATTCATAGTGAGTTGGCGAGTTCAGCTCCGAATAGTATCTTTTCATCGGCGGAAGGTGCGAAAAATCGGGAAAGAACTTGAAGACTGTTTGCAGGATCACCTGAGAAGTGAAACAGAAATTGGCTGTCAAATGTCTTTCCTTCAAAACTGGCTTCTTTGTCGGGTTGCCGATAATGCTTCTAGTGATTCCTTAACCTGAGGGACCTGTCTCAACATATATCATAGTGTATTGTACATGTATATATATATATATACATACATATATATACATACATATATATATATATACATATATATGTATATATATATATGTGATGTATATATATATGTATATATATATATATATATACATATATATATATACATATATATATACATATATATATATACACATATATATATATACATATATATATACATATATATATATACATATATATACACATATATATATGTATATATATATGTATGTATATATATGTATGTATATATATATATACGTGTATAAATATATATATATATGTATGTATATATATATACATATATATATATGTATATAAATATATGTTTATATATATGTATATATTTCTTCATATATATATATATATATGTATATATATATACATATATATATATATGTATATAAATATATGTTTATATATATGTATATATTTCTTCATATATATATATGTATATATATATGTATGTATATATATGTATGTATATATATATATATTTATATATATATATGTATATATATATGTATATGTATATATATGTATGTATATATATATGTATATGTATTATATATGTATATATATATATATGTATATATATACATATATATATATATGTATATGTATTATATGTATATATATATATATGTATATATATATATTATATATACATATGCATATATATATATGTATATATAATATATAATATATGTATATGTATATGTATATGTAATTATATGTATATGTATATGCAGTCGGATCTTTTACCGGCCCACAAATTCGACATTTTTGTTACATATCATCTTAAACCTCTTGGGGTGGGGGTTGGGTGGGGTGGGGTGGGGCATGTTAACGTTTGCTTGCACTTGCGTCATGAAGTTGATGCTACGTCACGCATGGGGTTGGGGTTGGGTGGGGTGGGGTGGGGCATGTTAACGTTCGCTTGCACTTGCGTCATGAAGTTGATGCTACGTCACGCATTGGGTTGGGGTTGGGTGGGGTGGGGCATGTTAACGTTCGCTTGCACTTGCGTCATGAAGTTGATGCTACGTCACGCATGGGGTTGGGGTTGGGTGGGGTGGGGCATGTTAACGTTCGCTTGCACTTGCGTCATGAAGTTGATGCTACGTCACGCATGGGGTTGGGGTTGGGTGGTGTGGGGCATGTTAACGTTCGCTTGCACTTGCGTCATGAAGTTGATGCTACGTCACGCATGGGGTTGGGGTTGGGTGGGGTGGGGTGGGGGGGCATGTTAACGTTCGCTTGCACTTCGTCATGAAGTTGATGCTACGTCACGCATGGGGTTGGGGTTGGTTGGGGTGGGTTGGGGCATGTTAACGTTCGCTTGCACTTGCGTCATGAAGTTGATGCTACGTCACGCATGGGGTTGGGGTTGGGTGGGGTGGGGTGGGGCATGTTAACGGTCGCTTGCACTACAGATACGTAGAGGATCGTAGGGGCATTTATATATATATATATATTCTTACCTGTAGAGTATTCGCATCTACATATGTATACATACACCGATATTGCGATCACTATATGTAATATGAATGTTCATGTTTACATATGGACACATATATAGATATGATACACATAAATAAATATGTTTATATTATATACATATATATATGTTTATATATATATATGTTTTTTGGTGTCTCTGTGGACATGTATTTATGCAAAAAAACTGTGAGCTGAAAAAAGGAAAACCGAACTCGGAACGTTTTTGACCACAAAATGCTGGAAGGGTTGACGAAAGCATCTTGCGATGAACTTTTTTTAAGAAACTTTTTTGGACCCAGAATGTGCGTTTGGCTAGCACGAGAACGACGTTTTTGAGAAATCATGGGACGGTGAAAGATCCGTCGGGATGTATATGTATATGTATATGTATAAAGATATGTATGTATTTACATTATCTCGTATGTCTTTTTATACCTCTATAACTCCCCATAATACTGAATCAACAAGGACTTTGGGCACTGCTCACCTTGTCCACAACGACCATCGTCAGCGTAAACACCACCTGCATGATAGCCAATTGCTTCACAGCATACGACCAGCTCCAGCTGGCCAGTTTACCATCAAAGCTGACGAAGACTTTGATCCCGGACTTGCGAATGAACAAACGCCTGGTATCCGAAGCACCTGAGATATTGGTTTCAGAGGCATAGTCTCCCATCTTCCGGAAGGTGTAGGTGTACCTGTTCCGGAATTCATACCATCTGGGCCACGGGAAGATGGCGCCCGGATTCGCGTTCTCGTACTTCACATCGATTCCCACTGAGGTCCCCAAGAAACGGCGAGGGAGATCCGACCCAGACTCAAGATCTGCTTCGCTTGGCAAAGGAATGTGAGAATCAAGAGATAAATTTGCTGCTTTCAGAATCAGATCAATAGAAAGATAGTCTGAATACTTTGTGCTCCAGCACTCAGAGACATTGCAAGATGGCACGTTGCTCAAGCTGAGGTCCTTTAGATCTTTCTTATCGCAAGATCCCTCTGACGAACAAGGAAGTTGGTACTCTTTCTCTTTGATCTTCACAAAACCTGTGGAATATGAATTTGAAGCCTTCACCTTCGCAGCCATGACATCATGTCGGATTTTCAAGAAGAAACCTTCGACATTCTGAACAAGGTCAATGTCAAAGCCTTGGTTGTGCCAAATGCACTTCTCCTGTGCGGGAGAAGCACAGCGATCTTGCAGGGTCCTGGTGCGGGCCGTCATGACCATCGGCCGACCTTCCTCCTCCAGTGTTTCATGGACATCAAAATGACGGCAGTCGGCAATGATGCGGGGAGCACCGCCCACCCAGCGGGATTTGCTAAAGGTTCCGTTCTTGAAGAAATTGATGTGGAGCCTTTCGGCCAAGTCCTTCAAAGCAGCTTTGCCACAGTAGTGAGGTGTCCAAGCCTCTGGTGAATCAGAGCAGTCATAGTCATAATCGTAACACAAGGATTTGGAATTGGCCCATGGGGGTGCAAGCCGTACAAAGGAATTGGAGATGGAGATCTCATTGAATTCCATCAGTTGAAGTGTCAGAATGAGCCAGCCAAGCATCACTGTGGCACAGAGACTAAATGTGATGAGGTAGCAGATCTGCAATGGTGGAGCGCGGATTCGTGCAACTCTGGGCACGGTGTAAACTATGAACAAGTCCTCTATCAGCCGACCCCAAGTGCTTGGGACCGTCTCATCGCCGTCTGCCTCGGAGGACTCAACCGACATGGTCATGGCTCTGCGATATTCCATGGCACGATGTTTTCTCAACGCTTTGGCAATGTTCTGGGATATCCTGGGAGGTGAGGGAAGGTGGGACATAAGTCTTACCTGTCTTACCTCTTGGAGCACCGTTCCCTCTCTATGTTCAGCTTTGGAGCTTGGATTTCAATCTCAAGCTTGGAATCATTCGTAGGAGTCAATCAATATGTAGGGTTTTTGCAAACATGAACCCCTGTAAGAGCATCGAAAGGTTGCGTGTAGACGCAGACCTGACTGCAGCTGTCTTCACAAAAAAATGATGGATATCCTGGATCCTGTTCATATCTACGTGTATCTTTGTAAAGACAAGAGAGATGACGAGTTCTACTTGTACGGACAAGACTGCAGTCCTATTAGCATCAATTTTCCCAACAGTGAAGTGCGAACTACAACCAGCAGGCAACGTTGCAGCAATGTTTTGGATGCTGTCGTGCCAGCTCCGATGTTAAGGAATTGCCTGGCAATTTCAGGTCAACAACAGCCCCTCAAAATCTGACAGATGTCACCGATCTCAGTAAGAGGGTCCAAGATTTCATATCTCTCTCCCTCTCTATCTCAGGGACTTCTTCCATCATTGACCATCGTCTTCATGGAAATAATTTCATAGCCAATCTGAATCATATTGGCAAAAAGGGTAGAGTGATAACAGCCGGGAATCATTTGGGAATAATTATATATATAATTATCATGGTTATCATACTCAATAATCATTGTTTTCATATAAAATTTGTCATCAAATGATTCTTCACAACTCGCCCTTCGGTCACCAACAACTGCTGCCCTTCGGGCACCTATTGGCACCTCAGGAAGCCAAGAAGCGCCGAGATCTGCCCGAGATCTGCGGCCAAGTTTTCGCGTTGAGATCTGACTTTTTCATGCGGAAAATGGGGATCAACCATAGCTGGTTGGGATGATTATTCCCAATATATGGATTTTTTTTTCAAATGTTCCAAACCACCAACCAGATAGAGTTTCTGTTTGGGTCTGCTATTCCCAGACAAACTCATTCTTGTGGCTAAACATATTTTTTTCGTGATTGCGAATGTGTGAAACTCCGATAAGAAAGGGGTGTAGAATGAGGCTGTGAATTTTGAGACATTTTGAGGCATTCCTTTGAGATGTCTTGTTCCGTTGGTTCCGTTGGCCTGCAGAAAGGACATCTCTGCGCCACCGAGCACTGCTTTGGCCCGATCCAAAGACCTGAATCGATGTAGCTTTGGCATCGTTTGGTCACATCCTGGAAACACGTGCACCTACTTTTTTGGGGGGACCTGGGACCTCTGACCTCTGATTTTCTGGGTGAAGTGATTCGACTTTCTCCATCTTTTTCATAACTGCAGATCGATGACCCAGAGGGTGATGTCATGGCAATAATCCCATTTTAAGACTCATTTGCACTTGCGCCTTCCCAGCAACTTCATGAACTTTCTCCAGCAACTTGAAAAACATCGCCAACCCCTCAAAATCGATGACACCCACCGATAGCTTGGCCATATTTTTGTTGTTCGCTAAAATAGACCTTTCCGGGTATCCAAAACGCCTTGTCCAACTGAGGTCCCCAACTCCAATTCTTCATCTCTGGCGTCTTGCCGTGCTTGGAAGTTCGAGAGCAGCCAGTCGCACTCATCGTGCAGATTGTGGATCTTGGCTGGGTCATGGCACCCTGGTTTTCGTGAAGATAGCTGGAATTGCTGGATCTTCATGCCAAAAATCTTGTGTCTGACCCACTGCCGTATCGTGGCGGAGGAAAACTGCATTGACTTGGGAAAAAAGGATGGGTTTGAACTGGTTGAGCTGGTTGAATGCGAGCGGGACCTCCCGCTAGTAGGAGTTGGCTGCTCAGATTGTGTTGTAAAGGGATGTAAACAGAGTCAAAAAAGTACATGCTGTCCAAATACCCAACAAGAAATGAGAACATCCGTAAAATGGGAAACTTCATCCAACTGGAGCATTCAAATATGATCTGCTGATGCCCTGTGCCGCCACTGTCCCGAGCTAACACTACCCAAGTCTCCCGGACATAATCTTTTGTCGCTGCTAGCTCCTGCAGTATGGGGCTTGAGCCCACGCTGTGTTCTTTTTGTCCAAAACGTGGCGTTGCAATGGCATCGCCGCTTCTCATTGGGAAAAAAATATCAAGACTAATGACTAATCTCATCTTCAACTATTTCACTGAGGGTTTAAACTGGTTAGTTATATACGTGTCTATGTATACATACATCTACATATATATATATGTACAAATATATATATATACATATATATATACTATATGACCATAATATATATATACATACATACATATATATATATACACTATATGACCATAATATATATATATATATGTATATATATATATATGTGTGTGTACATATGTATATATATATATACACTATATGACCATAATATATATATACACATATATATACTATATGACCATAATGTATATATACTATATGACCATAATATATATACATATATATATATATGTATGTATATGTATATATATACATATGTATATATATATAATATATATATATTATATTATATAATATTATGTACTATAATATAATAAAATATTCATATAATATAATATAATATAATATAAGATAACATAACATAACATAATATAATATGAATATAATATGATATAATATAATATAATATAATATAATATACAATATATAATATAGTATAATATAATGCAATATAATGTAATATAACATATATATATATATATACATTAGTTGTGAGATGTAAAGCATGGATACTAAAACGGTTCACTCTATCCAGGCTCACATCCGCATAGCTTTTTCCTTTCCAGTCTCTTCGTGCGGTCTCAACCTGCTCCTCGCAGGATAGTGCTTTGGAACGCTGTGCAGGTATCCCCCTGCACAGCAGCACTGGTTGGATCCGTACACCCTGTTCCGCACTCCTGTGAACTCAGGAGGCTACACAGGTTGAATCTCTCCCGCCCAGTGCTACAGTCGTGGGACTCCACGTAGAGATCAACATCCTCAATGATGTGATCCCCTACAAGAGAGGATACTCCACCGGAGTCCTATCTCATAGGGAGGGAAGGGAGGGAAAAGAAAGAACGATGAAGCCAGTTTGGCTCAGACTTGAGCCAAAATGGATTCATCAGCTTACATACTCACCCTAATGATAATGCACACCCAGTGCCTGCCAAACACGATGCATACATACATTAGTTGTGAGATGTAAAGCATGGATACTAAAACGGTTCACTCTATCCAGGCTCACATCCGCATAGCTTTTTCCTTTCCAGTCTCTTCGTGCGGTCTCAACCTGCTCCTCGCAGGATAGTGCTTTGGAACGCTGTGCAGGTATCCCCCTGCACAGCAGCACTGGTTGGATCCGTACACCCTGCTCCGCACTCCTGTGAACTCAGGAGGCTACACAGGTTGAATCTCTCCCAATGCACTTCTATCCCAAAGCACTCAGAGAAACTCCACAACCCGGAGAAACGCGGGAAGTGGTAGAGACCAAATCTCGAAGGGGAAAAATGCAAAATGCGCGGTGAACCCATGGCGTTTGTGCCATGTTGCCTGAAGGCCGTCCCTGCTGATCTCGTCTGACCAGTTGGCCTTACTAGGGATCCACTCCCAGAAAAACCAGGCTTGGAGTGCAAAAAGAGTGACATGAATCAGACGAGACATGTATTCTAAATCTGCGTTGTCAGAACGACCTCTAATCAGAGCCATGAGCGCCGCTGTATTGTCAATGAACCAGAGTCCTCTTCGACCACGAAATGTTGACGGACGAGAAAACAATGCATATAGAACCTGAAGCAGCTCCAGCGGAACAATCTGCTTGTCTCCCGACTCCCAAAGGTGGTACACCAATGGAGGGATGATTGAAACAAAGGCTTCACGCTGTTGACTGTGGTCATCATGCCACACTACCAAAAAAAAAATCCTCCTGTACCTTGACCTGGACTTTCTAATGCAGCATCTGAGGCTGCCAGAGAACGTGGCCCTGCATGTGGCCAGATCTCAATTTGCCTGGAGAATTTGATAGCAATGATGATACGCAACAAGTCAAAGCATCGACGCAACTCCGCAGTTAACTCTAAGATGCGTTATGGTTGTCTGCGCTTGATAGAGACCAGGCCTCCACAACCAATGCGCCCCCATACACCAAGCTCAGAGAAATTGACAACGCCATAAATCTTGGCAGCTACTCCTGATTGAAGTTTGCTGAAATCCTCCGCATGCTTCATGAGATGGAGCAGTTTGTGCTCGATGCGTTCACGTGCCCAAAACTGAATGATGCCCTGTGCATGAACTGCATAGCTCGCTGGCCCGATCCTTTGCAAGACTTCCTGTCAGTCACATGCGCATCATCAAATACAAACTCGTCAAACAGAATGCAAATCGACGCGACAAAGCTTCCACCAAACGACTGTATCGATTGAAGGACGTGACGGCCAAAGGGGAGACCAAAAAGCAATCCCTGTGTAAATCATGAAAGCTGGCCGCTGTATTGTCAATGAACCAAAGTCCTCGTCGGCCACGAAACGCTGAAGGACGTGAAAACGATGCATAGAGGACCTGAAGCAGCGCCAGTTGGGCAATCTTCTTGTCTCCCGGTTCCCAAAGGGGGCACACCATTGGAGGGATGATCGGGACAAAAGCTTCACGCTGTTGTATGTGGTCATCATGCCACACTACCAGAAATCCTCCCGTACCCTGACCTGGGCTTTACGATGCATCATCTGAGGCTGCTAGAAAACATAGCCCCACGTGCGGCCAGATCTCGATCTGCCTGAGGAATTTGGTAGCGATGAAGATTTGCAACAGATTGAAGCAGGGACGCAACTCCTCAGTCAACTCTGAGGTGTGTTCTTGTTGTCTGCGCTTGATAGGGGCAAGGCCACCGCAACCGAGACGTCCCCATACACCAAGCTCAAAGAAGGTGGCAATGCCATAGATCTTGGCGGCTGCTCCTGGTTGAAGTTTGCTGGAATCCTCAGCATTCTTCATAAGGTGGAGCAGCTTGCGCT